GAGAGAGAGAGGGATGAGCACAGGAGAGTTGAAAGTGTTGCTGGTTGATGCCACCGGATTAAAAGGAGCTGACTATGTAGGTGAGTCAATGGCTGCACTTCGGAAACACAACCTTCTTCTTTTGTGGTGATTCAGTACTCGATACAATGATTGACGTGTGATCAATTGTCACAGGCAGTATAAGTCCTTATGTGGTGATTCAGTACAACAATCATGAGCTTAAGAGCAGAACTGCTCATGGTAAGCACGATTCTCTGCAGCAGAAGAGGCTTTACAATCTCAATTTCCTCTCTAACATGAGGCTTTTGTGGTGCAGATCAAGGTGGGGATCCCGTATGGAATGAGACATTCGCATTCCCGGTGTCCTCCTCACCAGTGGACAATCCCATTCAACACAAGCTCATACTCAGAATCATGGACGCTGACACCTACACGGAAGATGACTTCATTGGACAGGCAACGTAAGCTTTTTTGCCGTCATGGGAAACACCGAAGGATCCAACTCTTCTTCCTACCTTGAACTGATGGTGTCTTGTAATGCAGGGTTCATCTGGGAAATGTGATTGCTTTGGGCACGGAAGAGGGGTTTGCAGAACTAGAACCAGCCAAGTACAGGGTTGTTCTTGAAGATGAGAGTTACTGTGGTGAGATAGAAGTTGGTGTCAGGTTTACAACACATGTAAGCAGCAGCATGCAGGAGTTACTCTTCGTACTATCTATCTCTAAATACATGCAGAGCTAACAAGAACAACCTTTGTTGTATTTTGCCGTAGGTGGAAGAAAATTGAAGCAGAAGGGTTTTGGCGGATGTTGATACGTAAATTGCGATCGTTGTTGTTGTTCTTAGGGTGCTTTAATCTTTGTCAAGTTTCCAAGAAAACTTGTTGAAGGATTGGAAACAAGCTAGTGATTTGATTCTTCTTTAGCTGCTTCCTAATCTAAAGCATGCAAGACTGTGCAATATATAGTTTGTGAACCTCTCTGTTGGATTGCCTGCAAACAATGATATTATAGGTGTAATGAACGTATGATGTTGCGAGTTCATGATGAAGATGATGACATCAGTACATCAGCATGTTGACTTTGACCATGACACTGAGCCAGGAGAAAGGACTACTTTGTGCTGACTGCCCTCTGCAACAAATCATGGAATTAATAAAACAAGAAGATTGCTATTAGCAAACCTCATTTTGCTATATATATATATAAACCATGATTAGTTTGACTTAGATTGGTATTTTAAATATTACATCTTACATGATATGTAGTCAACTTTTGAGATTGATCCATAAACTTATGTTCTTCAATTGAATTGGTGTTGAACTGACGTGCTAAATGATGATAAGGAGTCATCATCATTTACGATTGGTCAGAGACGTCTCCTTCGTCCTGGTGAATGCTCGATCCTGTCGTTTCCATCCGTTGGCTTGTCTCCATAAAGAGTTGAGCAGCATAATTGATCTTGTCATTGCTATCTGTTGACTTGGTCTTCGTGAAGACTTCAGCAGGAGACTGAGTCTTGAGGATGGAGTTCGAATTCGCTTTTGAAACTTCAAATTAATTAAAAGGTTATAGTCAGATTAGAGAGTTACGAGTTGTTGGAATCTTGTCAGTCTGAAATTATATTGAAATAAGAGCAGCAATTGAAGAGAAGACCTCCATGCGTGTTGCAATGGTCAGCTGGTACTCTTTCTGCGTTTCCATCGACGACAGGATCAACGTTTGACTCCTTCTTCTTCCAAAGAAGATCTATATATACGCCGAGGAAGAGGAGGAGAGACACAAAACCAAACAGACCAACATAGATACAAACAGAGAGAGATGAGCAAAGGAGAGTTGGAGGTGTTGCTGGTTGATGCCAAGGGACTGGCAGGAGCTGACGTTATAGGTGAGTCATCGGTGGCTGCACTTCACAAACACAAGCTATTTCCTTTGCCTCCTCTTTCAAACTCGATCCGGTGATTGACATGAGATTGATTTCCACAGGGAAGATAGATCCTTATGTGGTGATTCAGTACAGGGATCAAGAGCGCAAGAGCAGAATTGCTCGAAGTAAGCACCGATCACCCAAACTGAGCAGAATTTTATGTACATATATGGCATCAAGCTGTTAATTTTCCGTGTGTGTCATTTCTGATGGATCTCAGAGGAAGAGACTTTGCCTCATCGTCATCACCATCTTTCTTCTCTAATTGTTGGTGCAGATCAAGGAAGGAACCCTATCTGGAATCAGACGTTAAAGTTCCCAGTGTACTCCTCAGCAATCAACAATCCCATTCAACACAAGCTCACACTCAGAATCATGGACTATGACACCGTCACAGCTGACGACTTCATTGGACACGCAACGTAAGTTTTTGCTTTCATGGGAAACAACAAAAGCTCGAGCTCCTCAACGCGATTCCCTCGAACTGATGGTGCTCTGTAATTGATGTAGGATTCATGTGGGGGAAGTGATTGCTTCGGGGATGGAGAAGGGGATTGCAGAACTACCACCAACCAAGTACAGGGTTGTCCTCGAAGATAAGCGTTATCATGGTGCGATACGAGTTGGTGTCACGTTTAGAACGATGGTAAGCTGCATGCCAAACTCTTGATGTGTCTCTAATAAACACATGCAGAGCTAACAAGAACAAGCTTTGTTGTATTGCCATAGGTGGAAGAAGATTGAAGCAGAAGGGCTTTGGGCCGATGGAGATGCGACCTATAGGATTAGGGATGTAGATTATGTTGTTGTTCTTAGGATCATTCTTTGTAGAAACATGCACTCTGTAATCAAGAGTTTATTAACCTATTAGTTGGATTGTTGTCTGTAAAAAGCAATTAGCACTCTGTAATCAAAATCAAACCAGCATGTTTATCTGATTTAATGGATGTCTTTCATCTTGATCAAGTTCTTCTTCCAAAAGTTAGGGAGTCCAATGATCATATCAAATCACAAAAGCTTTATTACATATTTATTTATTATTATTATTATACGATACAGACAATTTTGGGATCCACCCATCAACAAAAATAGTACTATGACAGGAAATGATCCATGTCGATGATCCCAAATAATTGGGATATTAAGATATTGTTTCTTCTATTCTCAACATATTTTAGTAAAAGGAAAGCTGGTTTTTTTTCTCCATCAATACCGACTCCGAGAGTCAACATTATGAGATGCTTGAATTGGAGGCAAAAATGAAGGATGCATTTAGTGCATGACAATTGCTTTTATGTGGACTTTTCATGAATATGATTCACTTTTAGCTAGCATATAATTTTCAATCAAACTTCAAACCTACCATACACTCCATTATCTGTACCTTGGGATGCCTTTGTGAAGTGAATTGGGTCAAACATCCCTCTCTTTCTTTGGAACACAAAGAAGGAAGCACAAAAAGGAGAAACAGGAGAAGAAGAAGAACTTCACTACCTACTCCCCCAATTCACCTACAATTTTAGATTTCCTCTCCATCTGTGCAGTGACAGGACATCAAAGGACAACATGCATGTCGACTGTAGAGGGTGATCGCTTGATATCTAAGAATGATGGTTGTATGCTTGTATCACACTTTTGCATGGAGAACATACCGTCAATCTTTTTCTGATAATTTTCATGGTGGTAGTTCGAAGGAGAAGGCCAATCAAAGATAATGGTATATGTGTCTCCTTTGCCTACAATCTAAAGCTAACCTCATTCACCAAACATGTCATAAAACATATAAATACATCTCTCTACTTCTCGTGGAACCATAAATCTTACCATTTCTCTCTTGTATCGCCACAGATACAGGGATGGCTTCCTCAGTTCTCATGGGAGCCTTGTTCTTGTCATCCATGGTTGTGTTTGCGTTTCCAGATGATGCACGAGCCGAGCATGCTGGCACGACCAGGCACTACAGCTTCGACGTGAGTTCTTCTTCATTGCCTACCTGAAAGTTAGATGTGTAATCCGATGCATGCGCACATTGCAGTGGAACTTCCATTGTTGTTGAACTAATGAGAGCCTGGTTTGCAGATACGAATGGCAAATGTGAGCAGGCTCTGCGCCACAAAGAGCATCTTGACCGTCAACGGGGAGTTCCCGGGGCCGAGGATCGTGGCCAGAGAAGGCGACCGCGTCGTCGTCAAGGTGTCCAACCATGTACCGCACAACGTCACCATTCATTGGTATGTATGGTGTCCTTGATCATGTTTAGTAGTTGGCACCGGGTTGCGAAATGGACGACAGCTGATGCTTTGAGGACAGGCATGGCGTCCGGCAGCTGCGGAGCGGGTGGGCGGACGGGCCGGCGTACGTGACCCAGTGCCCGATTCAGACAGGGCACAACTACGTCTACAACTTCACGGTGGTGGGACAGAGAGGGACCCTCTTCTGGCACGCCCACGTTTCATGGCTGAGGGCCACCCTCTACGGCCCGATCATCATCCTCCCCAAGCATGGCGTTCCCTACCCGTTCGCCAAACCCTACAAAGAAGTCCCCATCATCTTCGGTGCCGACCTTTTCTATTGTTGCACCGGTTGGCGTTGTCTTCACTTTGATGTAAACTTGGCGGCGGCTTGTTGTGGATGCAGGTGAGTGGTGGAAGGCTGACACAGAGGCCATCATCAGCCAGGCACTTCAGACAGGCGGCGGCCCTAATGTTTCAGATGCCTACACGATCAATGGCCTCCCAGGCCCCCTGTACAACTGTTCGGCTAAAGGTACAGCTGCGAAGGCGAACCGAGATTTGCCTGCGTCCAAAGAGTTGCGCGTGCTGACAACGTGGACGTTTCGTCATTGCAGATACATTCAAGCTCAAGGTGAAGCCAGGAAAGACGTACCTCCTGCGCCTGATCAACGCTGCTGTCAATGACGAGCTCTTCTTCAGTATCGCCAACCATTCTGTCACCGTCATCGAAGTCGATGCCGTCTACGTGAAGCCCTTCGACGCCGAGACTATCGTGATATCACCGGGCCAGACGACCAACGTCCTCCTCCATGCCAAGCCTACTTACCCCAGCGCCACCTTCTTCATGATGGCCAGGCCTTACGCCACTGGATCCGGCACGTTCGACAACTCCACGGTCGCCGCCGTGCTCGAGTACCGAAAGCCCTACAGTTCATCCGCCGCCGGCTTTGACAAGAACCTCCCGCTCTACAAGCCGACCCTTCCAGCATTCAATGACACTTCTTCCGCCGCAAACTTCACCGGCAAGTTACGTAGTCTGGCAACAGCTCTGTTTCCGGCGAACGTGCCGCAAACCGTGGACCGACGATTCTTCTTCACGGTTGGGCTCGGGACGAGACCGTGCCCGAAGAACCAGACGTGCCAAGGGCCCAACGGCACCATGTTCGCCGCCGCCGTCAACAACATCTCGTTCGTGTCGCCCACGACGGCTCTCCTCCAGGCACACTTCACCGGGAAGTCCAGCGGCGTCTACACCCCGGACTTCCCTGTCGTCCCCCTGATGCCGTTCAACTACACCGGAGCTCCGCCGAACAACACGATGGTGAGCAATGGGACCAAGTTGGTGGTGCTTCCGTTCAACACCAGCGTCGAGTTGGTGATGCAGGACACCAGCATTCTAGGGGCGGAGAGCCACCCGCTACACCTCCATGGCTACAACTTCTTCGTCGTCGGGCAAGGGTTCGGCAACTACGATCCGGTGAACGACCCCGCGAAGTTTAACCTGGTGGATCCGGTGGAGAGGAACACCATCGGCGTTACGGCCGGCGGTTGGGTGGCCATCAGATTCTTGGCCGACAATCCAGGTCTGTGTTTACCAGAATGCATGTCCTCTTGATCGAATTGGTACGCGACATTGTTCGGTGTCTCACCTGATTGCTTTGGCTTCTAATCACCTGCAGGTGTGTGGTTCATGCACTGTCACATTGAGGCTCACATGAGTTGGGGGTTGAGGATGGCATGGCTGGTCTTGAATGGAAGACTGCCGAACCAGACACTGCCACCTCCACCGTCGGATCTTCCCAAATGCTAATCTTGGCGGATCGGCCGTTTGACTAACTTGGGTGCTCTTGATCGACATCTTAATGATTTCTTTTTGTTGTGCTGTCATTTTTGTGAGAAGATGAAATGTTTTCTTCGTTGACTGGGGCCATCGTTGACTCAGTTTCATATTGTATAAATAATATGGCGATTTGGTGATCCTCATTCGTCATATATTTTTCACTTAATTCAATTAATAAAAGTTAATTTATCTCACCTTTGGCTAATTTATTAGATAATAACATTTGTTTCTAACAACAAATTCAATTACTCTTGATGTTTGACACATTGTTGGATTGACAATTGAGGAAATGGACCCAACGTGTTAGTTCCCTTCTGGTTGTCTCTAGGGCTCAGAGTGCATTCTATGTCGTCTCCTCTCTCTATGTCCCATTGCTTCGCTAAATCGCATGAATCATCGGATCTTTGTTGGTTGGTAGAGATCTGTATGTACAATGTGCCCATCCATGTCCTCGGTTCTCCACTAATGGAGCACGTCCTTCTTATTCCATAGACGGGTGCATTTGGTCTCATTTTCACATGTGTTTATATTATCTTCTATCGGGGAATTATTGTTGTAAATAATTATCTTTAATATTCTGATTTTTATATTTTTAAAAATTATATTAATATCCCATTAGTTATGAAATTGAAATATCTAAGTTCATTTACTCTAACATTGTTAGTTTTATCAATACATGAAAACAAAAGTTAAAAAGATAACTTTAATGTTTCGGTTGGTGGTGATGAATGATATCGATGATGACAAATAATGACGTTGCTAAGGCTCGGGTAGCTATTGTAGATGAGAAGAGGAATGACAAGAGATGAGAGCTGCTTAGCAACTTTATCGACGACGAGCACGATAGCTTACTCAGCGTCATCTTTTTTTACCATCATCGGATACGTCTGTTGGGAGCTCAATAATCGCTCACTTGCCAACCTTCCAATGCTTCCCTTCTTGGTCGATGACAACCACGGTGAATAAAACTCCTCCTTCGACAAGCCTCCCATCCCCCTTTTTCATGTCAATGTCGGAATTGACATGACAACAGAGAGAGCGACAAGAGCTTCGACGACCTTGACTTTGAGTCAAGCAATCTGCTCAATGGGTCAACGACAAGATGAGCATCATTTTCATTGTAGACGCCTCAATGATCACCACTATCTTCATCAACACCAACATAGTTGCTGAACGACAAAAGATTTACTGATGTGAAATACTTCTTTTGTTGCTTAACAACTACATCGATACTGACATAAATATAGAGCAGTGTCACTCATCAACTATGTCAATATCGATGCAAATGCAGGGTGATGTTGCTCAGCAACTGCATTAGAGCTAATGCAGATGGTGGTGATCGTTGTGGTGTCGACATAAATGTCTAGTAGCGAAAGGGTCGGTCGACATTTATATCAATAGCTCTTTCACCACTTGACAAGCGTTGGTGTCGACATAGATGGTGGTGGCTACTGCGGTGTCTATAGTGAAGATGATGGTCATCTTGTCGATGACTCATTGGGCGGATCGCTCGACGTGAAGCTAAAGTCATTGGAGCGACAAGTCGATGACTCATTGGGTGGATCGCTCGACGTGAAGCTAAAGTCATTGGAGCTCTTGTCGCTCCCCCCACTATCACATCAATTCCGGTATAAACATGAAAAAAGGGAGATGAGGTCTCATCGGAGGAGTTATATTTATTGTGATTGTCATCGATTGTGAAGGGAAGCTTTGGAAGGCTAATAGGTGAGTGGTTATCGAGCTCTCGGTGGACGTATCTTACAATGATAGAAAAATATGGGTCCCGACATTCACCGTTAAGTAAGTCATCATACCTATCGTTGATGCAATTGTCAAGTGGCCTTCATTTCTTGTTGTCACTCTGATCATCCACAACAGCCACTTGCAGCTCCCAACGATGTCATCGTTTGCCACTATCGACGTCGTCCGTCACTAACTTAAACGTTAAAATTATTTTTTATTTATATATATATTTTATTTTTGTTAGTAAAATCGCTGGTGTTAGGATAAATAAATCAAAATATTTTACTTTCATAATTAATTATAAAAGGAGTAAATATAATTTTTTAAAATAAAAAAATTTAAATACTAAGATAACTAATAATTAGTCATCTATCGGGAGAACACTCAGCCGACACGATACAACCCACCAACGTCCCAATGACCACACCGATCGACCTAGCGTATCCCTCAGCGACAAGCGAGCCCCACGCCTGTCTTCCCGGTTCGAGCCTTCCTCCGCTTCGCTGACATGGCACCCACCAGGTCTGAAAGTAAGATGACTTCATTAAACAAGCAGAAACTTTTTTCCACCCTTTTCTACCCATACCCGATCATTAAGTGGACGGCAAGAGTCCCACCCGGTCCCAGAAGAAGGGGAAGGGTGACTCAATGGGTGGTAGTACGTGGCTCGGAGAACATTCTAAACCTGCTACGATTTCAAGTAGAAACCGCGAGTTAAGCGGTAATTTTCCCGCCTTGCTGGCGCTCCAATTCCCGCCCGACCTATCAGTTCATTATTCGTTTCGCCGAGTTGATTCGTTTCCCACTCGGTTGGCTTCCATCGCACGCCACGACGCCGTTCTCTTTTCTTTCCCTATAAAACGCCCTCCCCTCTTAACCCTCGTTTGAAAACATCTCGCCCTTCTCCTTCATTCGATTGCAAGAAAGAGAGAGAGAGAGAGAGAGAGAGAGAGAGAGAGAGAGAGAGTGGTGGATGAAGACGATGAAAATGGAGCGGCAAGAGGGTCGGATCCCGGTGGGGACTCGCTGCCCCCCGCCGCCCAAGAAGAAGGTCCCTGCCGCGGTGTTCGGCAAGAGGAGAGCCCCGCCCAAGAACGGGTACTTCCACCCGCCCGATCTCGAGTCCCTCTTCGCCCTCTCTCCCAGGAGAGCACCTTGCCCTTGAACACTGCCCCTGCATCGCCCAAGAAGAGACCCCCTACCGCGGCGTGCTACAAAAGCAAGCGCAGAGCTCCGGCCGAGAACGGACGAATCCACCCGCCCGGTCTCGACTCTCTCTATGCAACGACGCTACGGAGGAAGTCCTACGCTTGAACTAGGTGGAGATGGTGACAAATTTTGGATAATGGATGCCACTGTCGTGCTGTGTCAGGTTCGGTGGCTAGCATTAGGGTTTCTCATCCCGTGCATGCGTTGATAGAAACCCTCGTCAGTAATTCTAGTGATTTTGGTGCTTGGTTATCGTCTTTTGTTATCCTATAATAGCTTTAGTGACATACGCAGTATTTACTTATCTCTGAAGAAGAAAGATGTTGGTTTGTGACTTCATATTTCTTGATGTTCCTTGAATGATGCAGCGTTGAAGACATGCTGATTGCAGTCACTATTACTCATCATAACCCATGGAGACTGATGAGAATATATATGGCTCTTTGCTCTGGTAAGAGTCGAGAACCATGCCTGTTTCATGTACTTTATTTCGACATTGTTGTCTCTTTTTTTAGATGTTTATGAGGTATTATCTGAAAGGATACAATTCATGAGGTATTTGAGGTTTTCAACATACACTGATCATTGATGCAAATATTATGTTAAACTCTGTAATCTGCTTACTGCTAGTACTTATAATTCTCATTCTAATCATTGGAACGAAATGTAGGACTTGCTAAAACATGTCAAATTTGACTAGGGTCAACTCTAACCTGCAAAGTATAATCTTCCTCAGCTGGATAAACCTTTTTGTTTGATGAAATCCATTTGGTCTCCAGGGAGAACAAATAATCTGTCCAACTTCTAGAGATTACCAGGCAGGACTTGTTTCTTCTCTTGAACTAATTCAACTAAGGCAAATATGAAATAAAACATTTTAAAACTGCATTTATAGCATTGATCTGAAAATGTGATGCAAGTGATGGGAATGCTAATTTCATAGTAAATAATATTCCTCAGAATTGATTGCTGTCTTGCCACCATTTCATTTCATAAATGTGGATCCTCTACATGTAAGAAGTTAACCCGATACCAGTTGCTAAGATTTACTATCTAGAGTGAAATGTTAAACGAGTAGGGAAGTTCTAAGCCAAAGATAATAAGACAAGGAGATTAGCAACCTAAAACAACTTGTGGTGCAAAGTCAATAATGAGTAAATAATCAGAATAATCTTCTTGTCTACTTGCATATGAAATAAAAAAGGATCAAATTCCATATCCGGTTGTGGTAGAACTGCAGTAAGTCATAGTACAGAAATTGACAGGGTTGATGCAACCAAAGAAGTTAAAATAATTCTTTGCTAGTTATGCTTTGCCCATAGGAATCATGCAGATTGCTTTGAAGCTAAGGATTGCATTCCCAAATAGCGCGATTACCTTAAATTAGACCTGAAGCTGAAACAATAAGTTTAGCAAATTCAGTGCACCAACAGAGACCAAAACACGATCAAGATCATGCGGAAGCTTATAGATAATACTATTGCTATCAGCCCCAGCTTCATTTCTAACAAAATGATCCTCCAACTTTGGTATTGGCTGGGTTTTGACTTCCGATTGTGTTTAATTGAGATCTTCTAAGGTGTATTTGTTTGTATTGGGGAAAGGAGTAATGATATAAAAGATAGAAAGTGTTCAGGGATAAACCATGAAACTGAATATTTGTTATCTTAACGAAAAATTTTCATCCTGCAACCCCTAACAGAAGAGGAACATGCAATAACAGTGACATGGAGGCGAACAAGAAGCACTCAGTGAACTCAAAACTTTATTCATATATAGATGAAGAGAAGATGCTTAGTAGGATGGTGGTGGCCTTGGAGGTGCAGCAGACGCCCAAGCGCCGAAAACCTCGTGGCGAATCTCACCATGAGGCAAAACACTTGGCGGCAGATTGTTCTGTGGCATCGGCGCGCCTCCATTGCCTCTAGGACTCTGCTGCCACTGGCCCGCCGCCGTGGACGGCTCTTCTTCCTCCACCAGGGGCAATAGCTCGTATGTTGCATTCGAAAATGTGGCTGCGATCACCATCACGGTCCCTGATGCGACCAATTCTCCCACCACATCCCCGCCAACCACCTGCCCCTGGCCGCCGGCTACGTAGAGCGTGAGCCCGGTTGCCCCGGGTGGGGATGGCGCCGGAAAGAACGCCCCGGAGAGAGAGAGGATTTCGAAGCGGCCGTGGAGGTTGATAACCCCGCGCTGCGCACCCGGCTGGCGAAGCGTGACGTTGGTGACCACCCCGGTGCCGCTCATGATGCAGACACCGCGCTGCCTCCGGCGGGCGAAGGTGGCCACGGCGTCCATGATGTCCGCCCCGCTCGCGATCTCGAGCACGTGGGAGCGGAGCGCACTGGGGCTCTCCCTCGTAATGATGATAGGCGGCTTCGGCTTGTTCTTGGACCCAGGCGGCCGGCCTCGGTGGCGTTGGCCGGTGGTGTCGCTCGCTGTGGCTCCATGGTGTACCTTGACATTGCCGTCGTCGTCTTCGCAGGGTTGGGGGTTGCTGCTGCTGCTGTTGGCGGCGGTGGCGGCGTTCTTGGGCTCTCGGTCTCTTCTACGTAAACGGTGGTTGTGGTGGTCGTCGGAGCTATTCGGGTTGCAGAGATGAAAGGGAGGGTTCGAGCTCGCAGGTGTGACCCGATGGTCGACCCCTTCCATTGCCGTAGCTTCACTCCACCACCGGCTCGCCAGCTCTTCCGTAAGGTATGAGTCACCTTGCAAGGAGAAGAGAAGAGTAGACTGTACCACCTGCACTGCCAAAGGGAGAGGAAACCATCCACTAAACTGCGGAAAGGCAGCTCAGATATACCACAATCAACTAGAGGTACTCCTCTTGCTCATTTAATGGGCACTATCTTAAGTACAGGATAGCCCCATCTCCGCTGCGACCTGCCGCTTATCAAAAGCTATCATCTTCTCTATCCCATATCCCTCTCCTCATCATCTTCCTCTACCTTCTTCCCTTGCCTCTCCTTTTCCAGCTATATTGGCATACTGATTGCCCTGATAGCTTTGGTCATCCACTCTCTCTCTCTCTCTCCACCGCAAAGGTCGCGGTAGAGCGAGATTTCTCGTTCCTCCACTAAGACTGCTAGTCCACGACAAAATCCTCAATCGCGGTTTCTTAAACCCCGAGCACGCGGTGCGTGTTCCCACACCCCATCATTGCCTCGTTGTCTTCTTCACGATCGTTAAAGCGGGTTGATCACCGAAATATAGGAAATGAAATCTTAAGGTGAACCTCTCGTTCATCCATAACATGGGAATCTGCCTCCTGTACGTGACGACTTGCAGAACTGGCCATCTCAGGCATCAATGACAAAGTCATAAATATAAAAATAAGTACCTGATTAATTTTACTATTTAAATTTATCCAGGCCCCTTCCGAACTTTATTTCCATATCCTACCGGCTATCGGTAGGATTTGCTGACACACATCCATCCTTATTCAATATATTTTATTATTATTGTTATCAATGCCTTTATATCTTCTCTCCATGTTGTGTCTCCCACATCTCTATCTTTCTATTATCAACACAAGCAGGACTGAGATGGCTACTGATTGTTATTCTGGGGCAGTCGTGTGCAGGAGCATTCATAAATCAATCATGTACAGGACAGGAGCATTAATAAATCATTAGTATTGTATTGATTGTTACTTTGTTTATATACTTAATCATACAATTTCAAAAAGAGTCCGATATGATTAGTGTGAAGTTTTTGAATTTTATAGGTGTAAGGTTAGTTTTTTTTTGTTCGAGTTGAAAACTAATTTAGAGTCAACATGATTCCTTTTTACAAGCCAATCTCAATATGAATTTCTTCACAAGTCATTAGAATCCTACAAATTGTATTATTTCTAATAATATCTCTTTGATGCTCAAGTTAGTAGATTGTTGGATAAGTCATATATATAAATTTTATTTTTTTGAGATGTACCTATGAGTCTCCTTTACAGTAAACATTTAAAGTATTCAAAATCGTTATGCTCGTCTATTATACAATTTGTGCGATCGAGGGGGCATGAAATTTGATCGTAATTGTCGCTAGTTTGCGTTACTTAAGATTGCGTAGCATTTTCACATGTGGCAACGATGGAGCATGGTTTTGTCTCATGGGGTGTCCACACGATGCTGAGTTGGAGTCAATGTATAGTTGAGGTGTCCATCATGGGGATTTACATATCGAATATGTGGCTTAGTCATAGCATCCATGTGAAGCTAATGTGTCGACCTTGTAAAGCTAACGGGTCGCGTATGTGGCATTGACATGTTCGTCACATCATTTTTCACGTAACAAGATATATATGCATACTTTTTTTTAATTAAAAATAAGACATTTTTTATGGTTCAATAATAAATCCAATATAATTGAATGGTTTTGAATTGTTGGATGGATTGAGGTCTATTCTGGTTGTAGTGGATCTCACTCCTAACTTCAATAGATCCAAATATTTTTTTCTGAACAGAATGGAGCTTTTGTGTTGCATTTCAATAATGCAATTGTTAGGTGCACATAAAATACGTGAAAGATCATATGAGAACCATCGTACTCGTTGATCATAAATGAACCGATCGAATTAACCAACCAAAGTTAAAAGATCGAAGTATGGGGGAAATGAATTCCTCCGAAGATCATAAAGTTTATATTAACCCTAGTATGATTGGACAGCCAATTAACAATATAATTTTTTCTATCTCCATAATGGTATGAGGCTAGTAAAAAGTAATAACAAATTTATTGATGGAAAATTTATTGAGCCAAAGTTATATCGATAACCCTTTTTTTATTAACGATAGAATGATTCACAATTGCATGATCGATTCGAGTGCAGTATGTTCCTCTACTGATCTCAACAGTGGTCGAATGCGGATCCAAAAATATTTACGATCCTTGTAGATGAATGGAGCATGTTTGGGAATGGAGATACAGTGGGAGAGAGGACCCGAGATGCACAAGATTTGTGTGCCCCGCTCTCTACTCTCTCTCTCTCTCCTGTGCAGGTTCGGGAAAGCGATGGTAAGGGTGGCACAAGGCGACATAGACAGAGTTCCGAGGCATTCATTTCATTCACGTCACTCCTCGTCGGATCATCGGCATCTGCCATGCCAATTCAGACCGTGACATACATGCATCCATGCCACCGTCTTCCAGTCTTTCCACACAACTCGCAGTGCGAGTGCACGATTGCCGATGCCACAAACGTTTGAAGAACAAAAGAAAGAAAGCACTTGCTGCTAAATCGCAAGGGAAGAGTGATAATATTTCTTCAATTTCATTTAAACACAAATTTATTAGTGACCCAAAATATGAATCAAATATTTAGATCAAACATCCATTAAAAGCCGAGTAATGATATCGATTGCTTAGTCTTTTCTAAACGCAATTGGTGCAATAACATGGGTGTGAAAACTTCTTATATGCTTTCATAATTGTGGGTGAATTATTTTATATTTGCACCTCATTAATTTCCCTCCTGCCAAACCAAATTTACTCTTTGCTGCCCATAGATTATGAATAAGAATGTAGTTCGATACATACTTAAGATTTCTTGATGGTTGTAGTGTTCATAGTTACATGTTTAATGGAGTTTTCCCTCTATGATGCAGTAGATTTTCTTCCTCTCTTTTCTGTATCTTGTTTACCTTGTTAATATTTTAACCCAATAAGCTTGAAAACAAATTACTTACAAGTTAAGAATTTCTTTCATATTTTGCTTTGACGAAGACAATTCATTTTATACTTTGCTTTAGATATACCACTATTAAAATATTGCATTGGTTCGATGATCTTCTTTCTACAACAAATATGCATCATGGGATGGGATGTTAGGCCAACCTAAACATGCAATTTTTAGCATATGTTGAATATATAAAATATATTCGAAAATGACAATGTCGATTATCTGAAGCCATGGGCGGAACTATAACAAAAGAATGTCACTTATTTGGTTAGGACAATTGTAGTTACAAAAACACTTATCGACTCAGTTGATCAAAAAAAATAAGTTATCATAAAAAAAGACCGAATTCAAAAGATAAGTTTCTAAAACCAAATGAATATTTTTTGTGTGGAGGACCACACATGGTGAGGGAGTGCCCATAAAAGCTATAACACCAAAATATCATGGACTTACTTGGAATTGCCTATTATGTTATTTGTCCGTAAATGATCAACCTAGTTGTAACCTTACTTAAGTCTCAAAGGACCTATAAAAGAGTAAACCGATTAGTTTCAAAAACAAGTGATAGACAAGCCTTGACATCTCATAAAGAGGATATTTTTATAAGTAATTCAACAAACACTTGGTATGTAAGAGAGAAAAGAGATGAAAGAGAAAACAAAGATTTTAGAAGACAAACAAATAATTGCAAGTTCGCAAATGATTACTCACCGGGTGTCAAGCATGTTCAGACATTCAATATGGATCTTATAATAATTGATTAAGATCACCAAAAGAGAAAAACTTGGCAACCAATCTTCAATTGATCTTTTCTTATTACATGTTGAATCAAAATGAACGGAATTCAAACTACATTTGAATTCTTTGATCACTGAAATCCAGTGATCAAAGAAGGTATACCCATTAGAAACTTGTATCCCTTTTAACTGGAGAATGTGCATAAGACTAACATATGGTCTTTAGTGAGGTTTTACAACACTTGTTACACTTTTAAAAATCATCTCTGTAAAACCAAACATGATTAGTGCACACCACATCTCAGATGATTCCATCAGATATGCTTATCGGAAGTAATATATGCCGAAAACTTAGCTTAGTGATCCTTTCCTTCTATCTCCTCGACCTTCAGCTTTCGATAACCTTTATCAGTGCCGAACAACCTGACAAATAACAAAGAAAAATATGGATAAGGATGGTTGATTCCGATATCAAAGATGTGATACTATTGGAAAGGCATGTTCAAATATGTCCCAATGCCCCAATTCAAGTGAATTACAATATCTGAAAGGAGAGGAACAACTTAAATGGTGTTTGTTCTGATAACAAGGATCTTGTAGCCAATTTCTCAGAGCATAACACGAACAACAAGCCAAGAGCATCCTTCTCTGATTTCCCAGAAGGTTTAGTTTATCAACAAAAGAAATAAAAACAAACACCTTACTGCTAGCATCTTAGACATGTCTATAAATACTCCAACTAGTGGTATTTCAGTGCTTGGCATTTTCTGACATAAAGGAATCAGGATTATCAAGTCCTCCTTTGCAGGTCTATATAATAATACAGGTAGGCAGATGCCATCATAAGCAGAATAAAAAGTTCACAAACATGAGTTAGTTATTTGCATTTTATGTTGGGGAGCTTCTATATCTCATCTTACTGAGAATAGTCAAATCCAGTAATTACCAAAATAATGAAATATTACGGTTGTTGTGCTTGAATTATTTATCTTCTAATTAATGGATTTTGTGGGAAACAAAGTTCTGTTCAAGAGGAAAATGAATGAGCTAGTAGTTCTACGTAAATATCACCAGAAATCCTTGTTCTATGGATAGAAGGACTTGGAGTCAGGTACTCCATAGACGCATTTGCTTTAATTGAGTGATAATTCAGCTTGACCAGTTTGCCTCTGTAACTATATAATTGAACATGTATGTATACAGGAAAAAGATATTATTACTAACCAGTCCATGTAAACAAAAGTTGATGAATAATTCCCTGACTTGGTGAAAAGAATACGATGATGGTAGTCATGGAATTCAGAACTGCAAAAGCGATCGGGTGTCAATAAATTAACTCATGTAATACAGAAGGATCAAGCACACTTAATACAATGTAACTCACCCTCCATATAAAGGGAAGAAGTTTGATGGGCTCCATGGGAAATGGTATCCACTGTGAACCTCAACCGTCTCCAAGACTCTCAATGCCATCCATAACCACAGTGTAAATAGGTGAGGGCCGGTTAGAGCTGGACCCACAATTGTGGCAAAGCCGAGGAATAAGATTTCAGCAGGATGGGCATACTCAGAAGTCAGTCCAAATGGTGTCGCATATCTGCATATGGAACAATGGTAAGAGAAAACTCATGAATGGATATTGACAGAGGTCATTCCACTTACTCATGATGGATACTGTGAACATGCTTGTATAGCCATTTGGTATGCAGTATCCTGTGCCCCCAGTAAAACACAAAATCCTCCAAGATGAAGTAAAAAAGTATTTGAGAGACGATGACAGTCCTATAAGGAAAATAAGAAGAAAAAAAAAACAAAAATATCAGCTAAGAAATTGTAATCTAGCCAAACTATATGTCATACCCCACCATCAATTCAAGGTTCAGTTTGCATCAGCATTTTTTAGATCCCATTTTTCATTCTTTGATGGTCTTGTCAGAGCATCAAAAGCTTATATAAACGCATTAAGCTAAAATACAGTGTGGCTCTAACATACAATTCTTTTTCCAAAGCATTCTACAAAGCAAGAAGCAAATTACCAATTTGGCAATGGAAGACTGCTTCTCAGACCCATGTATCTGAACGCAGGATAAGAGATGAGCATAACTGGTAAGTTGACACAGACATGGTACATGATTAGACGCATAACACATTTCTTGTGTGCTTCTGCAGTGTTGCTCTTTTTCTGCACAAGTAATATACACGTCTCTTTAAGATGTAGCATTCAAGCAATAAGGAAATGACTACTACTCAAGGGAAAGAAAGTCATCCTTAACCAAGAAATAAGTTGAGTAATTGCTTGATGCTGAATGTGGATGTTACTTGTAAGCTAAACACAATTGAGAAAAAAGTGAATTCATTCTTCTGAAGGTTCTACACAATAGTGTAAATGGCTTGCAAAGAGTAATGTGAGATGGAAGGAAGACATCCTAAATAGAGCAATTAAGATTCCGAGCGTGCTTGTCATAGAAAATTGTCTTTTAGGTGGATACAATTGCATAAGCACAATATCTCCTTGTAACATGAAACCACAAGTGGCACATGTTAAGAAAGTTTTATAGTACAATCAATAAAGTAAAGAGGCACAACTTAAGAAAGTTCTATAGTAAAACAATAAAGAAAAACACTTCTTCTTCACATGTTGATGACCATAGGTCGCTAGGACAAGTCAAACACAGAAACAAATAAGTGAATAATCTGTTCATGGAAATTTAAATAAAAATAGTTTAGTGAATAAACATGGAAGCCATAAATTAAATAGATGACAAACAAAGAGAAGGTAATAGTTCCTTGCAATCCACATTCTTTAAAACTGAAGCAATTAGCACAAAGTGATGTGTTAATAGTCAATAATGGTTCTAAGCCCATCTACTGCTATCCCATAGCTACAATCAAATTGAAAAAGAAAAAAAGAATGAATGAGTGAGTGAAACTTGGAATTGTACTAATGTTTTGCCCTTTAAAACAGAAATATAAACAATGAACTTAATGAAACAGATAAATACAAGAAAACAGAAAAAATAATACCAAGTTAACAGCAATTTCCATTTTCATATTGCATGGAAAATTGAGCATGATCCTACTGCTTTCTTGTCCAATGTTTGAATTTTACAGTAGAAAATAGTGCCTTTCAGAAATAAAGGACAGATAGGAAGCAATGGCTGTCAATATTAGAAAATTTAGAAAAAAAGTAGATCTCTGCAATTTAGGCTGACCAAACCTGAATTTTGTATTTGCTGAAGAGCCCTGATCTCTCCAAGAATATGGATGGGAATCCAGACAAGAAAAACACGCTTTCATGAATTAAAAAACTGCCGATAGTTGCCAATTGGAACTCACTGAAATGAGTAATAAGATACTGCATAGAATGACAAACATAGTAAGGTACAAATCATCAAAGTTAAAATGCAGTAATTTAGGCACACGAAACAAGCCAAAGGTTCTTGATTGTTATTAATGCCTAGAGTGAAAAAAAAATGTCTTTGAATCACAAAGGCCGCACCTATGTTCTTACAAGCCAGGCAGCCAATTTACGAAGGATGACAGTGTAACTTGCTCACTACCACGAAGTCTAATGTCAATCATGCTGGTCGTAGTAACCAATCAAGAATTCTCATCCCTCGAACTGTCCCATTCTCAATTTCCCAATAATGGATTGTAAAGCGAGCCAATAAATACTATGCCAATAACATTTGAAGTTTGAACTCCCTATCAACACCTCATAAGGAAAATCTTGGAAAAACCAAAAGTCCCACATAAGCTTCAATCAGGGAAACCTTTCCGCGACAGACAAACCATATCCTGCTTGACTCCACAAGGAAAACTAAAGGTGATCGAAATCTGAACAACGAGAACTCGAAAGCATAAAGCAGGTGGAAGCTTGCAACTCCCGAACCAGAAGCAAGAAGGGTATAAACGGGAAAAAGGAAAACTTGATGGTTCCTCAACCATCCATGCTGCGCAAGAATCAACCCTCGTGCGAGTGTGATCACCATTCGACTCGGTGGTGTCTCGATCGGAATGTCACTCGCCGCTCAAGCACTTCCGATCGAATAGTGTTTGTTACACGAAGGAACCACGACGCACTACCTAAAGAACTCCGCGTGGTAAGTCAGGATCGAATCCGTCGATTTCCATTCCTCAACGGGTCCGAAGCACAACAATGGAAAGAAGCAGAGAGAGAAAGAGAGAGAGAGAGAGTACCAGCCAACAGGATTCCAGAGGAGGCGCCATCGATCGGGGACGAGCGAGGGAAGGTGGAGGAGGAAAACTCGGTCGGTTCCACCCATATATGGGACAGTCTGACGCCGGTCGTGGTGGCGTTTCGATGCATTCCCGAAGAAAATAGAAAATTCGTGCACACTTGTGGGTCTTACAATCGGAACTACCAGCGCGATGATTGGAGAGTCGAGGCGGGACCGCCGCAGCATCTACAAATGGGACCACTTGATGCCTGTGGGGGCCGAGAGTGGGTCGAAATCTGAGGCCGACGAGAGCGTACTCGTCCAAGGGGGGACGCATCACTACATTCTCCTCGCCGTTTCAGCGAATGATTGTGTGATCACTACCCTATTTTAGAAAGATAATAATATTGTCTATTTATCTCGACAAAACTAATCTAAAAATCCTATTCCTCAATCTCCTATAGGAAAATGTTGATCAAACATGATAAGAAATTTCATTTTATTATTTTTAGTAATTATTAAGATTACTTTGACTCATTTTGGTTGAGAAACTAACTTTATTATTGTTGACAACTATCAATGAAAGATCTACTTTGCTTTGGCTACATTACCAGATCTAAAGTGATTCACTTTCTACTGATCCGATATCATCATTTTGATACTAATCTTCATCGTCGATCAATGAGCTCCATGTCATATAATCACTTGAATAAAAAAAAAAATCATGGGTTAAGCGATGAAGGTCGAAAGACACCCAACACATAAACAAAGAGGCCTCTAATTGTTGATCGTAAAATCAATGAGGAGAAGAGAGTGAGTTTAATTGAATGACCTACAAAATTAGGTCAAGTTTGAAGTTGAAAAAGTCGAGAGAATCCTATTTTCAAAATAGAAGAATCCGTCGAGCTAACTTACTTAATATCATTTTCTATACATAATTAAAGTAGTCGTCAATATCTTAACAAGAAGTTATTTTGTAGGAGTTATCTCGAAGTTGTTAGGTATTACTCGAACTTGAGGAGTCGTCTAAAATATCAAGTGCCAAATGTTACCGACGATGGCCCAAACTTATTTTGTTGATCGGGTGTTTTGATTTAAGGTGTCAAGATAATCATGACGAGATATAATAATTATGCAACGGCACATGTCAAACTTTTCATATTAGTAATAATAACATTTTTTTGATAGTTTTTATACCATTAATCTCAATCATTTTGGTTAATATCCATAAAATAGAATCATATTATTTAATTTATTTTAACTATTTTTTTTATTTTCAGGATAAATATATCATTTTTGAATGAAAATAAAATTTCTTGTTCTACTTTATTACCAACCATAAAAAAATACTCATTGAGATGTCAAATTAAGTATAAATTGTATTTTATTATATTATGATGGAACATATTTGGATCCATCTCCGAAGCTAGATCCAATAAGATAACATACCCGTTTGAATGATATAAATCCGACCCATCTTAGTTGATACTTCAAATTCATTGTATATATATATATATATATATATATATATATATATATATATATATATATATATATATATATATATATATATATATATATATATATATATATACCGCATTTGAAGGCGGCAAGGGTGAGGACTCCGCTACTTGATTCCTCTGCTCCCGTTGCAAGCCTGAGGACTCCGCTAGTTGACTCCTCTCCTCCCCGATATATACAAGTATTTGCCGCATTTGATGGCTGCAAGCGTGAGGACTCCGCTACTCGATTCCTCTCCTCCCCAAACGCCGCGCCATCTAAAACCCTAGCCCTCCAAATCCCTTCCTCCCTAAATCTCGATCGGGGGTCTGCGGCTGCTTCTCCTCGAGAGCAGGCACCGCGATGGAGGAGGAGCCGGTCGCCAACGGGACGACGATGGTAGGATTTCTTGCCCTCCTTTGCCCCTCTGTTTTAGAGTGTGATGTTCGTTCCCTTGATCCTTGTTCTGATATCTACTGGGCAATAGGTCTGCGTCCCGTCGCACCCGTTGATCAAACACTGGATATCCATCCTCAGGAACGAGCAGACTCCCTGCGCCACATTTAGTGAGTAGTTCTCGCCCCATGGAATTATATTTGGTCTGGACGAATTTTACTGCTCTATCATTTCTGTTGATGGACTTGGAATACGTTATTTATGTGCGTAGTCGATTGATTTGAAGATTGTTTCTTCACTTATACCATTCGCTGAACATATGATAGGCATTTCTCAAAATTTATATGGCATTGGTGGTCATCTTGTTTAGATGATATGGATGATGAACTCTTTCTGTTCTAATGATTTGGGTGTCAATATGCTGAGTTGGCTTTTGTTGACGTTGAAGATGGTTGATTAGATTGAAAAATGTGAAGCCTTGAAATATTTGAATTTCGTGTATAAACACACAAGAGGGCAAGCCTTGGCATCACGAAAAGATTGCTTCACATTACCTAGGTGACCCGGGTTGGTGTCATGGAAACTCTCTTTTCTTATGAGGGGTAAGGCTGTGTACAATACCTTCCTCGTACCCCACGTTGGTGGGAGACTCATGCACTGGGCCATTGTCTTTCTGCAGGCACAATTTATGGACGAACATTGTCTTTAAATCCATTGTATGATCGCATATGCATGTATGGCTGCAGAAATAGTGATGCATGTTCTCTTTCTGTTGTCTCATATCCTCTGCTTTTGGTACTTTAAGAGGTTAATGTGGTAATCACTAATTTCATCTTTCTTATTCTTGTTGCCAGAGAATGCCATGGCAGAACTTGGGAGATTACTCATCTATGAAGCTTCTAGAGATTGGTTGGTGCGTCAAAGTTTCATTTATCTTATGTCCCATGTTTTAAACATCTTTACTGTTCATTGTTGGCAAGTCTCAGTTGGTTTTGTTTTTGTTGAAAAAACTGTTTTCATGAAGGACTGAGATTTGCTAAGGTAGTAGACATCCATCAGTAAAGCTATGTGTCACTGTTGGGACTTAATCATGCAACAAACACTTCAAGCATATGTACGCGTATCACATTTCATTAGCTATATGTCACAAGTAGTTGTTAATCATATGATAAATAAGTTTTCTGGCTTTGTATAAGTTGACAGTTGAATATCCATAATAAGCAGCAGGTGATAAGGTGATATCTAGAAAAACAAAAATCTACAAGATTGGACAGAAAAAACAGAGGACATATCTCATACTCAATTTAATAAAATTAACTTTTGCAAACTACAAACAATGAAATATAACTGATGATGAAAACACATTGCAAGGAACATACATCTCCAACAACCATGTTCTAACTTTGTAGTTTGTGGAATTATTCCTATCAAACCTCACTGCAACATCATAATTGACAGTTAGCAAGTAAGGATGATTGTAAACAATTTATTTTACATTATAGTCAATGTATTTATCTATTTGTCTTTCAAATGCATTTGGCACTTCAATGAAATAATCAAACATGAAGGCATTTGCATCAAATATTGTGAATAAAGCTTATTAAGATTTTTTTGGGTTCATAAACTTTATTTATTTTCAAGATGAAACATAATATGTAGTTGCTTTTACAGTGAAGGAGTAGACCATGTACCTATGAATTTTCTTTTGGGTGGAACAGGTGTTACCGGTTGAAGATCCTATCATATAGACTACTGTGATAATTTTTTTTAGCTACCTATCCTACGTCCTTTCAAACAAGCCTCAAGCTTTCGGTGCAATTTGATGGGGTATAGCAATCTCATACTGACCTGTGACTATAGCCACCGGTTACTAATTAATAGTACGGCAAAAGTATCTCTAGGTGACCTGTGACTATGGCCACCAGTTGCCCTGTGACAAAGCCTAGATCAGGAAATAAAATATCACACTTTTCTATTTGAGTGGACACCCATCAGTCAGCCCCATGACTAAGTCCATATAGATATATCTTCAAATGACACCAATCAAGGAATAAGGCATAATGGCAAAGTTGGTTAACGTGATTAATGTCTATATCAAAAAATATCTCTTACTGGCTGTGATTATGGCCAATGGTTCCCCTTGACAAGACCTAGAACTGGAAATGAAACATCACACTTTTCTATTTGAGTGGACACCAGCAATCCACAGCCAAAACCACACAGCACCAACTCTAGAATATATCCCTGAACAACATTTGACCCCATTAACAGGTTCAGATCATAATCAATATAGAAGAGCACATCACAATTTCCAATGCTGTTGAACAGATACAAGAACTTTAAACGAAATTATATGTGTTGTTAAAGAAAAGTATATTCAGATATTTAGTAGGTAATATGTATGTATTGGTGTGCTTCATTTCTAAATTTCTAAATCTTTTGTCATCAAAGAATAATGTTATCCTCAGCTAAAACTCTTGATATATTCTGTACACTTTTTCCTTTTTTTCCCCAATCATATGGCAGTTTATTTTCCTTGCAGCCTGTAGTCAATGGAGAGATTCGGACTCCAATGGGTGTTGCTACTGTTGAATTTGTTGATCCACATGAGCCCATAATGGTCAGGGGTAGTTTGTGTTTTCAGTGTGTAGATGATTCATTAGACATAGTAGTCTTGTTGTATGCTGCCTTATTTACATAGAATTACCTTGATTTGTAGTATTTCATTGCACATTAACTTACTGATGGTTTTTCACTTGACAGATAGTTCCCATCTTGAGGGCTGGTCTTGCTCTAGCAGAGCATGCTTCATCAGTTTTGCCTGCAACGAGAACATACCACCTGGGTGAGAACAAATACATTAAGCATCACTATATTTATAATAGGGTTTTTACAATGACTAAATGCTGTTGGTATTCAACATCCAAGAACTTAATTATAAATGAATTAGATATGCAGATCGACCATTGTTGACATTTGGAAGCCTTCAAACTAAGAGATATCTTGAAGTGTTCAAATTACTAGTCTTCTTTGTCAAGGTTCGAAATACCATATGGTACCAGTGTATCGAGCTTTGCTCGGTATGGTATGGTACGATGTACTGAGCAATACACCTAAAATAGTCATAAAACCCTTCAAAAATACCTAAAAAATAGAAAAAAAAAAGTTAGGATAAGATTTTTAAGTTAGACATAAATATACGTTTAGTATAGTTTTAGCAAAACTAATGTAAATTAGATAAGAATAGTGCCACATATCTTTTTCAAACTTTAAGGAGTAGCATTGTGCAAGGTTCGTAATTTCAATCCGTTCTGGATCGTCCTTTCGTTAATATTGAATTATCTATAGAAAAATTATTTGAATTGTTATTATTTTGTATACAACTTAAATTTTAAGATTCAAATGAATTAAGTAATCACATGTGTAGATTTATCTCATTCTATCATCAAAACAAACGATGGGCGTCCACGGGTGATGGATCGGGTTTCTCGATCCTATGTATTTGTGTATCGATATGATATGTTTGTCGAATCCAATCCTGAAATTGATCCCACGACATAGTGTATTGACACACCGTATGTCATTGGTACATCAGTATGGTGATGGATTGTCGCTATTATGGGTATCTACTTTCGATACTGATCTACTGCTCCGTATCATACTATTGCTCGGAGAAGTATGACCAACTATTATCGTACTGTTGTTGGCCGTAAGATTCTCCATAATAGGGGGGGTGAAAAGGGTTTAAAAACCCTTGAGGAGGCCTCCAACGGTCAAATTGACCATTAGAACATTGTTATCATTTGGTAACGATCAAAATCGACTGGTACTGGCCGGTGCAGATCGGTAACGATAAAAATTTCAATCGTTATCACCCGATACAGGGCCAAATACTTGATATTGCCCAGTAGCGGGTGGTCTACATGCCGGTATGCTGGTGGACCGATGGTATGGTATGATATTCAAATCCTTATTCTCTGTATCTATTGTTGATTAGTGAGGTGCAGGAGTTGTCTCGTAGTTCAAAAGGCAGAAATTATCTGTTACCAAACCAGTTTGTTAACCATAAATTATGATGCTATTATCACATAGCTGGTTTAAAATCCACAGAACTTGAAACCAAGCTTTAGAACTTTTAACTGTTTATAGTTGCATGATATGTTCTCCTGAATGATGTTGCCATATTCTTCTTTCAAATGAAGGCATGCGTAGGGATGAGATGACTCTAGAGCCATCCTTGTACCTCAACAAGTAAGAGCTACTATTCCTTGTCTTTTTTTTAACATAAGGTTTACAGTGTTTTCTCTTCTTTTCTGAAATTGTCATTGCTGTTTGGATCAAATATTATATTTTAACTTGCTTGTAGTTGCTTTCTGTCTCTACAGGCTTCGCTCATCAGTCTTTGATGTACAAATGTTTAGTTTTTGTTATCTGCATTATTAATTGTGATTTATGTAACTTTTGAGTCTTTGACAACTGGCCATTTGGTGAATGTTCTTCATGCAAAGACAATATGTGGAAATTTTGAACTTTTGAATATCACTTCATAAATGAATTTTGATATTTTATCATGTGGTGTATCTCTATTCAGATCTAAAAAAATTTATGTGTGCATCTCTAGGTTATAGTTTAACTTTTGTGATTAGTTCCTCACTATGAACCCGCATCTCTATTGCATAACATTCTTATTAATGGTTCTCTAAAAATCTAAAGGGTGCAATAGTTTTCCATTAATTTATGTGGAGCAATACCTTGTGCTGCTGGTTTTGAGCCCTTAACCTCCGCATTGCTTCCTATGGTAATCTTGCATTCTTAGTTTTCCACTATTATTCAGTATTCTTTTATTAATTAATTATGCATGCCTCAGGAGCTGAACGGAAAATTAATTGTTTTTCAATCGGGACTTTATGAATTTAACTGCAATTTGTGTGATTTAAAGATCAGATAAAGTGATGTACTGATAAATGGTAGTTCTTCGGTTCAAAAATTTGTAGTGAAAGTAATGAGTTAGTGTTCCCATGAAATATTAAGCTTATGTAATATGATTTTCATATCTTGTCAAATAGTAGTTATACGAAAATGGAAAAGATGTCTCTTCTCTTTCATTTCTCCACGAAAAGTGCTGTGCTCTTTTACCTTTTATATTCTGTTCAACAATCTGCTTGATCTTTCCTGCTGTGTTTCATGTGATCATGAGCATGTTAGTTGATATACATGAGATAACCATGTAATGAATTACTGTTTTTCCATTTTTTGCTGTTAAATGCAGATTACCTGACAAGTTTCAGGAGGGGTCTCAAATACTTCTTATTGATCCTATGCTTGCAACTGGTATCTTTCTTTTTAATGGTGTACTTTTCACTATACTGGTTGAAAACTATCTCTAGGCTTGTTGGAACTAAGTTCCATTCATATTCTCCCCTTTTTTTCCAAACTAATATCTAATATTAAGTATAAGCCTGTATCAAAATTCTACCAAAAGAGACCCCTTGAACTCTTAAAATTTAACTCCTAATCAAATTTGAATCTTTTTTGCTCAAAGAGACTCAAAACAAGACTATAGGCTTTCTAAATTAGTTATAAAAGAATAATGACTAAGACGTTCTGAAATAATGAGATATAGAGAATCTAGATCTTTACCACTAGACCTGAATAAGGTGGCTCAGTTAGCCCTCTCCTTCCCTAATTAACCAGTTGAATTTTGAAAAGGAATTCTCCACTCCTATCCAACTAGGGATGAGTTATATGCACCCTCAGTGAAAGTCTGAATCAATATGTTTTAGGCAACCCCAAATTGTAAAAGGCTGAAGCAGAATATGTCAGCCCCTATTTGGGACCTTGTGAAAGTTGGGAGAGCTGACTTGGGTCAGAATTGGCTTTGCTTGAGGTTTATAAGAAGGGGATATGAGGTTGAGCCACATGGTAACATATATCCTTTATTTTATGATGAATACATACACTCTTGCACATTAGGCTGATGATTGTAGACTTGGTATTTCAATAATTCATTTTAGAATCAAATTTGTTCGAGGTTCCAACAAACATGCAAACATGTAATGAACCAGTATAGGGCATCACAACCTTCAGGTAGAAATTTATGCACTGGTAGTAAGGATGCACATGACATTGTAAACAAATATGTTACAGACATTAAGGGATGTGTCCAAATGCCTGGCATATCTGCCAAGGAAAATGCCCAAAAATTTCAGAGATGAAGCAAAAAATAGGAAGAGGTGAACTTTTGGGTTCTGAAAAGTGTTCCTGACAATGCAGGCTGTGGGAGCCGGTGTTGGCGCTCCAATTTCTGTTTGGAGGAGGAAGAGCAACTTGCAGTCCAAGTGGCTGTTGTCCTAGCAGATGATGAAGTTGTTAACCATATGGTGGCGGGAAAGGGGTATTAGTGATAAATAGTATGGTGGTGGTCATAGAGGTCATAGTAGTCATGGAAATAATATTAGCGATAATAGCATGTCCCTTGGTTCCAATCTGTGTTCCTTTGACTAGCATTTTTATTTACCATGTAATATAACATGAATTATGGCTTATCACCCTGTTTTTGAGCTCTTTCAGGTGGTACAGTAATTGCAGCTGTTGACTTGTTGAAGGACCGTGGAGCAGAGGACAAACAAATAAAAGTTGTAAGTCTACAAAGTTCAGCCTCTTTCTAGTCCAACCCCCACGTGATACAACGCTTGTGACTCGTTTGTTTTTTATATATAATCTGTCAGATTTCTGCTATTGCTGCCCCTCCAGCCCTTCGGAAGCTTAGCCAGAAGTTTCCGGGGTAACTCAACTTCCATAATTGTATAATTACGGATTAGTCATTTACCTAATTAGTGCTGGTTGTTTTCAGGCTTCATGTGTATACAGGAATTGTAGATCCAATTCTAAACGAGAAAGGGTATTCTTCTATCCACGGAAGTATGCAAAGCCTTAAATGCATGTGGCTTATCTTGTTTGATGTATTTTTTCCATCACCAGGTTCATAGTCCCAGGACTGGGAGATGCTGGTGACCGCAGCTTCGGCACTTAAATGTAGCACTTTCAGCACTGAGGAGGTATGCTACAAATTTAGAGCGTACTGCTCCGACAACTTCAATTTCTTAGCATTTGATTACATTCTGAAGTAGGGATCATAACAAGGGCACTTGCTACAACAGTTTTGAGTGAAAAACAAAACTCCTTTGTTAGTTTTGTTTATGTGGTGTGATGTCCAAAAGACAATTGGAAGTGCTGTTTATGACTTGAGTAGTCTGAACTTTTGTTAGTTTTGTCATCCTCTAGGTTTTTGACTGAGAAGGCACATAATTAAATTTTATGAGTGTGCATCGCTTAAAGAGTAATGGATTCCGTAAAGATGAGCAAAAGGCCTTAATGTGATCCATAATGGAACTTTATATTTTGGTTAGTGCTGAAAAGATATGAGGATGCCCGACTTGGATCCACCATGACAACAAGCTAAGGATTCCTTGAAACTATCTCGAGCAAATGCACAGGCTGTCATCCAGTGGCAATTGCATTAAAACTCACGCAAATAGTTCTCTTGAGGAAGATGGGGAAATGAGAACAGTAGTGTTACAGCTATTGACAACGACAGTGTTCGCATACCACCACGAGAAAGTTTTGGATCCTTCTTGAGTGTGACCCCCCAAGGACCAGTATCCAAGATAATTGCACCAGTCATTGACCTCCAACAAAAGATCGAGTTCCAGAGGGATCCAATAAATGACATTGAGTTAATCATCATAACTGCTAGAATAATTCCCCCCTAAGAAAGCCTATTAAACATTGCGGCAGGGGGTCGTGTACATTCGGCCTCGAAAGATCACTATCAAACAAGGCCTTTTACTTCAAAGCACAAAGTGAAAATAAATGGATATGTGTTCGTTCCAACCACCAAGTGTGACATGTAAACAATAATCATTTCTTTCAAATCATACAAAGTATTTATTTAAAATCATTCAAAAAAATGAAATAACGAAATTTTTTCTTCTTACTTTGACTATACATTTTATTCTCTCTCTCTCTCTCTCTTTTTACTTTTTTACTTTTACTAAATTTATGCCAATCACCAAGAAGCACCACATATCTTACCACCCCCACAACATAGGTGGACCAGTCCAGTCCAGTTCCCATGCATACATACAGTGGGCAGCATGAGTCAGTTCACTTGCTTCCACATGCTCCATCAATAATTATTGTTCATACTGTAATCTACATGATCGAAAATAAAAGCTCAAGTGTCAGCTTCGAGAGGATTACACCAGTATGTATGTTCAGTAATCAAAGCAATGATTGACAGAGAGGGTCGACTATCTCATATAGCAACTAAAGACCTTTATAGTTAATGGAACTCGTTAAAATGCTTCATATCTGCTTACTCTCATGATTAATCCTTCCACAATTTACAAAGACTGAATAGGTTACAGATCAGATAGGGCATGATTTGTACTGTATGCTTCAAGCGGATGACACTCTCCACCAAATCCCAGCCAACATCATAAATGCTGCTTCCTTGCACTTCAATCCCTTTGAACCAACCTTGAGGAATGCTAAAATATTTAGCACTGCAAATGAGATGATGACATGTGTTGGACAAAAGACACTCCTCCATATGTAGAGGAAACGAACATAAGGCTGCTGAGAGTTCATCAACCAGCAGCACACTGGTCACCAGATCTCAGAACCTCCGAAAGCTCTGTAATCTCCACTCCTTGCTCTGTTCTGCTAAGATGCGAACAGCGTGGTGGTATCTCATTCTTTCCTTGTTCCAGTTCTCCTCCCTGACAACCTCAGCTTTTGTTGGCATCGGTGGTGGCGTTGGTGTCTGGATCAATGGAAGAGGCACCAGCATCACCACTGCCACCGCCCAAGCACCACCATCCGATCCCTCAGGTGCCGCCTCCAGCAGTGAGTACCCAGCTCTTCAAGCTTGGAAGTCTGCCATGACAGAGGATCCTAATGGAATTCTGGCCTCCTGGGTTGGCCCTAATGTGTGCTCATACAAAGGTGTCTTCTGCTCAGAGCCACCAGAGGACAGCTCCTCCTCGTCCTCTGTGGTCTCAGGCATAGACCTCAACCGTGCCAACCTCAAGGGCTCACTGGTGAAGGAGCTCTCTTTGCTCATCCACCTATCCTTCCTCCACCTGAACAGCAACAGGTTCTCAGGGGCAGTCCCAGACTCCCTCAGAGAGCTGCAGTACCTGACCGAGCTGGACCTCAGCAGCAACCAGTTCTCCGGCCCCTTCCCCACCTCCACACTCCTCATCCCCAACCTCGTCTACCTTGACCTCAGGTTCAACAGCTTCTCCGGTGAACTTCCCGATGAGCTCTTCGAGAGGGACTTGGATGCCATCTTCCTCAACAACAACCAGTTCGAAGGCCAGATCCCCATGAACCTCTGGGCCTCCTCGGCCTCTGTGATCACCCTGGCCAGCAACAAGTTCTCCGGCTCCATTCCGGCCAACTTCGGCTACACGGGCTCCGGCATTAGGGAGGTCCTCTTCCTCAACAACAAGCTCACAGGTTGCATCCCGCAGGGGGTAGGTTTGCTCAACGACATTGAAGTCCTGGACTTGAGCTTCAATTCACTCACAGGCCGTGTTCCGAGCTCATTGTCATGCCTATCCGACATCGAGGTCCTCAACGTAGCACACAACCAGCTCTCAGGGGAGCTCCCAGACCTGGTCTGCGACCTGAAGAGCCTGCTCAACCTTTCTCTATCCTTCAACTTCTTCTCTGGGTTCAGCCAGGACTGTGACAAGCTGTCCTTCAGGAATGTGGGGTTTGATTTCTCCGGGAACTGTGTGGCTGGGAGGGACATGCAGAGGCCTCCACCGGAGTGCACAGGGCTACCTGGAGTGGATCTCAGCTGCCTCAGGATACCATCAACGCAGGCTGTGGCTTGCGCTGCCGCCATGGGTCAGGGAGGTGGTGTGGCTGGCGTTTCATTCACCTTGTCCACCTCATTGCCGTCATTGCCATGACCTCTGTCAGGATAACGCTGCACTGGGTAGTAAACAGGCTGTATGCATTCACTGGCTTATGCTCTCTTAAATGCACCACCAGAAGAACATGTTCTTGCGTAATTTGTGATGTTGAGTTGGCTTTGGAGTTGTTCTTCTGTTCAACATGTCATTTCATGCCATGGTAAAGCTGGCACTGCCAAAGTCTGTAGCTCCAAGAGATGACTATTCTCACTGATATAACATTCTTCACCATGATCGTTGCTATGCAAGAGTTCTTTGTCTATTGAGGATGACCAAGGGAGCATCTATCTCCTGTCACCACTGATCGAAGCTGCAACTGCTTCATTCTCAAGATCTGAGAATGGCCTATGAATTCTATTCCCATTGATGGCAAAGCCTAGACAAAACATGATCTGAGAGTTAACACAGAGAGGCATAAAAGATTAGTAGAATTCAATCCTTCAGCTAATAATTCTATACATCTGTTCTATATATGATCATAACATCTTGCAATGAGGAACCATACTGCACAGGCAAAGGCACAAATCCATGTTCAGTAACACTTTCTTGTTCCCTGTAAGCTGTAGAGAACAGAGAGCCATCTGATACTGTCAGCACCGAGAAGAATAGGCATGATCGGATACTTCTCTCTCACCATATGGTCAGTCAAGTTGATGTGATCGGAAGAGAAGAAGATTCAGATGACTGAGAAAATACTTGACCTTCAAATAGTTAAGATCAAACATCATCTCCTTCGTATAGACATTTCAAAGTGCAGGTGTTTACACTTCAAAGACACTGAAGAAAGAAGGCATACACTTGTCATACCATTTGTAGATTATAAAAACAAGACATTCCCCATTGCCTAAGTAAATCATGCCATAAATTATGCATGTTAAGTCCTAATGAAATATAAAAATATCACACCACATTTCAATAATAACATTTTGGATTTACAAGTGTACAATAAAAATCACAAAAAAAAACACAAGATATTAGTTTAGCAATAACAAACTATATCCACTTACCGACGTGGAAGATTTTAGATCTTAATTAATAATTTTTCTACACCTAAAATTTTGATGTGATAGTGCTATATCATATTGAGGACATGAAACCTTACTTACTAAATATTGAGAGTTCAAAACTTCATCTAACGAATAGCTAATATCCAAGTTCGTATGATTAAAAGACTTTCAAAATCAAAAGAGAAATCTATATATTAATAAACAAAGAACATATTATAGAGTAAAAAAAAGTATACTAAAAAATCGACATAACACACTCATTGATTATATCAATAGTAAAAATCAGATTCTTTATTATATGATATCAATTACGACTCTTGAGTTTGAAAATTTTAATTATAATTTTTTATATCCTCTCACATAAAATTTTAAAATATATTTTTATACATTTTCTCTCATCATCCGTAGATCCCAATAAAATAATCTAGTATTTTTCTCATGTATTATATTTATAAAAAAATTATATAGAGATATATAAGATATTTATAGAATAATCAAATCTTAAATTTAGTTTTTTTTTAATTCAAAATGAGTTATTTTCGTACTATGATTCATTGTATGAATATACTAACCCAACAATCTCTCCCTTAGTGATAATTTTATCTATTTTTATATGTTCTAAAAAGAATATACCATGCTTCACGCTTATTTCAATATTCATCACTCATCTTTATTAAATCTTTAAGCATCGAACCTTTGAGCTTTGATATCATTTTGTTAACAAAAAAGAATATTTCCAAAACGAAGTGAAAAATCATAAAGATTAACAAATAAAAAAAATAAAATTAGAAAGCTAAACCTTAATATTAATATGGTTCGAAACTTTACATCAATTTAGAAAATCAAATACTTCACAATTATTTCTCATACTTCTTTCTCACTCTCCTTATATCCATATTATTTCAATAACTAAACCTTAATATTCAAAATTTCCTTCATTCTCAAGGAATATGATTCCTTCTCCTTGCAGAGCTAATTTTAGAAAAAGAAAATTCAAATTCAACACAAATCACACACACATATATATATATATATATATATATATATATATATATATATATATATATATATATATATATATATATATACATGTTTATATACAATAATAATTGGTAAGATGGAACATGTCCTGATTTATGTTGAACACAATCTTACAGTCTTCGGAAAACCTTGTGAAAACACAAAAAAAATCATCACTCTCGATCATCACATCGGAACCGCTCGTTTTAGATCAGACGCAGAATACGAATACTAAACCGGTACGGCATACCGATATCAGCGTGCTCATCCGCCGCACACGGAATCGCTCGCCCCCTAAGCTTCGCGGCGGGCTGCAGTCGCAGCATAAATACTCTGCCCTCTTACCCTGCGCTTAGGGTTTCGATATCCGTCTCTCATTCACGCGCTCTGTCGAGCTCTGCCAACACCGGCCGCCTTCCATGGCCGACGAATTCCACTACTCTTCTCGACCCGACAACAAGCGAAAGTTCGACGATCCGGCCGCCGGTGCCGGCCCCTCGCCGCCCGCTAGGCGTCCCACGGGCTTCTCAGCGCCGATCGCCTCGCCGTCCCCCGACGGCCCCCCCCCACCGGCGTCCTACAACAGCGTACCGCCGCCCCTCGATGGGATCCAGCTCGCCAAGCAGCGTGCCCAGGAAATCGCCGCGAGGCTCTTCAGCGACGCCGAGGCCAAGCGCCCCAGGGTCGACAACGGCGGGGGTGCGGATGATTCGAGGGACAAGGGGTTCAGTTCCTCTGCTACCGGTAATTGTTGTCGTCCTGGATCTGTATGTTTTAGTGCATCTTTTCCCTTCCCTCTATGACAGCTTTGGCATCACAGTTCTGATGTGTAGGCTGAGTTGGCATTTATTGTGCTTTGTGCTTGATTGTGTCGTTCTTGTTAACTTCTTGGTCTTCGATTTAGGGTTTCACAGGCAATCTGTCCGGCTTTTGATCTTTAAGAATGCATGAAGGGCCTCCCTTCTCATGTCTTAACGAAGCAAACGAGAGAAAAGATTGTGTTTTCCTTCGTCTTTCTTACTCTCTTTCGTTTTCTCTCTTCTCCATAACTTGTTATGCAAACAGAGCCCGAAAATAGGAGCTAGCGAGAGGAGATGTGAACACAGGTAATGGACTAACAACCAATAAGGGATAGAACGGAACATATTGGCAGTTTCGCGACCAAATTCTTGGTTGTGTCTCCTCCCCATGTTATATGCCTGCATCAACCCTCGTTTGTTCTCGCAGATTCCCTCTTTTAGGCAACTTTCTCATTTAAAGATTTCATTGGTATTCCTGAGGCCAGTTGAACAAGGTTGAATGGTGACTGCCCCTTGGCCTGATACGTTCACATGATAGGAGTTGGTGTATTTCACAATCTGATGAAACCATGCAAACTGTTCATCCTGCCCTGCCAAATTGCTAAAGCGATTGTAGGTTTAAGGATTTAGCCAGTTTGAGAAACAGTGATTCAATCCACACCAATATGCCTATTCTTTGATTCCTTGACCATTTCCATCTTCGACATCAACAAGACTTCAGAAGTTGAAGTTCAACAGGTTGAGGGCTAGGGTTTTTATGGCGTGGAGTCCATATTTCTTTGTGCTTTTTGCTTTATTGTGTTGTTTTCTTGATGTACATGGTTTTCAATCCAGGGATTTTGTATCCTGAAAATCATATATTAAACCAATTCTATATTGATGCTCGCTATTTCTCTCAATTCGTTCCACGTATAAAGACAGAATACTCCAATTTTCTAGCTTATTTTTTTGAGTAAACTATTTATTTATTTTTTGTATTGTTTCTTTATTTTAGTGACAAAAGTTGTGTTTTTCTGATTTCTTGCTTCATGCCATTTGAAGAAGATATAAATCAGATTTTGTTGACCATTTTAAGCTCTGCTAGGCTATCTGGATGTATCATGGCTAATGTTTTTGTTTGTAGAATTTGTGTTACAGCTGGTCTGTACAGAAAACCTCCTGCTTGTGTTCCTGATTTGTGCCATATATTTGTGACACCATCAATTGCAATTTTCATTTTGAGAGCCAGATGCATACGAGTAACCTAAGAAGTGCCAACTTTGAGTCCTCAAATGTTGAAACTCTAGCCAAAGCAGGAACAATTGCTGTCAATAACTTTTCTGACTCTGCCAAGCTCGATGGTTCAGCTGCCATCATGAACAGTTTGTTTCGTTTGTTGCAAAACTTCATAGGGTTGCCCAAACAAATTATTAATAGATACTTGGCAGCAGAAGTAATATCCTTCAATTTTTTGATTGAGATTTTCACCTCATATTATTTGTTGATTGCTTTTTGCCCTGAATGATTTATCTATTTACGGGCTTCAGTCAACTAAACTGTAGAAGAATTAACCTGATTGTGGGCCTTGATTAAAGATGCAAGCCAAGCCATATAAATATCTATATCCTTTAAAATCGTTGACTCAGATTATTGCCCCATATATTGTTTGTTCAGTTGTTTTATGTTTTGGGATTATTTATCTCAATCTTCAGTTGACTGAGGAAAATGAAGCTGTGGGCATTTATTGAACATGCAACTTAAGCCCTAGAAATAACTGAAAAATGTGCCTAGTGCTGTTATAAAACCTCTCAGCCATGATGAATTGGTTTAAATCAATCTGATGTAGATTAGGTTTGAATCAATCTGATATAGACTGACCATTGTGCTACACTTGGAACATGCAAGACAAGTCATGAAACATATAAATCTTGTGCTGTCACTAAATGCTAGCTGCAAACGGTTAGATGAAATATATGCATTTAATTTTTTAAACACAGACTTTTCATGTTGTAACAATCGAGCTTTATGCAGTATACAAATCAAATGGTGATTAAAAATCAACACATTCTACCAAATGATCTAACACTAGCAAAGTATATCTGCCGAGTTCTACCATGTTGATGAATAAAAGTCAACTGGAATATGAGTTTATGATTCCTTCTCAAGAAACATTATAAGGTTCCAAATCTGGATCTCTATATCCCTGATGATTTTTGCAAATAATAGCTGGAACTTTAAGGTCAGTTGTGCTTAGTTCTTGTGCTTTCTAAATAAGCTTAATTGTTTGATTTAGATACTTAATTATTTTATTTTACCCTTGTATTATACTTGATAATTCTCACTAAATAATGCCATATATTTTCAATCATCTTTTTATAGTGGAAAATTTCTATCGTTCATATTTGCCTACTCCTTAACTGTGACGTTTGGTGCCTGACTTTTCCATATTTATCAGACCATACACAGAAGTCTCTGAATCAGCCAATACCTTCTCAAATTGGCATGACATCCCAGTCAGTTCCCGTGTATGGTTATCAAGGTTCAAGCAAAAAGATTGAAATTCCGAATGGAAGGGTATGCTTTCCTTTTGATTGTGTGCTGGCTTTAGTTATCTACACGATGTAACAAAATATTAAGTAACACATTTGTGTGCTATATGACTTTTCTGGAGATTCTGTATTTGCTTCAATGTCGTGGGTTGTCTTAGGTTGGTGTGATCATTGGCAAAAGTGGAGAGACGATTAAATATCTTCAGGCTCAATCAGGAGCAAAGATTCAAGTAACTAGAGACATGGATGCAGATCCTAATTCGCAGACTAGATCAGTAGAACTTATGGGTACTTCTGAACAGATTAGTCGGGCCGAGCAATTAATTAATGATGTGCTTGCTGAGGTACTATTGGAGTGTTCTTTATAGGTAGAATGATTAGTATGGTAGCTGATGTATTTTCCTGTTATATTGTACTTTATGTAAAATACCTAGGCTGATGCTGGGGCTTCTGGCGTCATTGCGGCTCGGAAACATGGTGGTGTTCAAGCGGGTGCAGAGCAATTTCAAATGAAAGTTCAAAACAACAAGGTAAATTATTATTTGATATCATTGTGTTACAGCTGTTCCTTGAATTGATTCTGCAGTTTTGATCTTTTATTTCAGGTTGGTCTGGTGATTGGTAAAGGTGGTGAGACTATCAAAAATATGCAAGCTAGGTCTGGTGCACGCATCCAGGTTAGCATTGTTGTCTTCGTTGATTGTTTATCTTCTTCTTTTAGCATCATTCATCTTCCAACCAAAGCTTAGATCTTACAAAAAATACAGTAATCAAGAATTTTAGGTTGCATTTACATTTTTTTGAAGTAAAATGTTAAAAATATTTATGATAAGTTTAATTTGTTGAAGGTGTTAGGTAACTTAGTTAGTAAAAATCTTGATAGTTTATCACAAGGTCTTGAGTTCGAATCTCACTTTCGTCACTTACCTTTTGCAAAAAAAATATTATTTTTTGTTTATTGTTATAGAAAGTAGTTAATTTTTTTCTAAATATCCAAAGTAAGAAACTTCTACTAGTTTTTTTTAAAAAGAAAGCATGCCACTATTATTACCTAATACAATTTAGAGGAAAGTAGGGCATCATTTTTAAGCAGGGAAAGGAAATTCTAATGGGAAATTGGGGTATCTAAAAAATCTAAAATTGTAATTCAGGCAAAATTTCCAAAAATAAAGAAGCATCAAGAGAACATAAGTGTTGTTTGAAAATCTTATTTTTAAAGTAAATAAAACAAATACGATGCCGAACACATCCTTGGTTCTTTTCTGGTTAGGAGATTTGTTCACTAGTCAAATGGAAAATGTTTTTTTAACTAACCATAATGTTTATGGTGACTCACACTGAGCAAGTTGATGATAAGTTTTAACCTTATAATGTACTAATCAAGCTTACAATTTCCGATTAGTTATTAAATTGCTTTCTCAGAGGTGCTCATTTTGTTTGTTGTTCAGTTTGAGAACTTTTTGGAACTTTTGCTGGATTTATTTGATGTCATTTTAACACCTTGTTTATCATGCGCAGAGATTGAATCTTGAAGTCATGATAGTGTAGAGTTGTTTTTCAGAAATTATCTTTGGATTTGCTTTGAGTCCTTGTTATTTGCACAACATCATACCTGGGCATGCTTATCACAAAACATATGTGTCCTTGAATAACTGTTCTTAATGATCAATGATCGGATTGAATCTCTACTATGTTTGATAGGTTTTGTATTATAGCAAGGCGTAAAGTTTTATCTGACTCATTGCATTTGCTTCTGATCCTTGGTTATTTTTACACCTCAGAACTAAGAACACCCTTATCTATATTTTTGTGTCTTGGCTTCCTTTTTATATAAACAACTAATGACTTTTAAGTTTTAAAGATGTTTAGCTTCTGTATATTTGTGTTTTAAAGTCTCGAGGGTTTGATGTTGGCCTCTGCTGCTGCTTTGCTGCTTGATATATAATGCCAAATGATGCATTTTGATTTTGAGTGATATTTTTGCATGTGTGGTATAACTGTAACAAACTTGATATATTTGGTTGTAGGTGATACCTCTGCATCTGCCACCTGGTGATACATCAAACGAAAGAACAGTGTATATAGATGGCACAAAGGAGCAGATTGAAGCAGCAAAACAGTTGGTCAATGAAGTTATTAGTGAGGTATGATAATTCAGAATTTCCATCTTTAAAAAGGAACTTTGCTAGTTGGATGTATGTTTCAGGATTCTATATTGTACTTTAAACTGATTGAATTTCTGTCTATACATTCGAATTATCTTCTCAGTCCTGCCAGGGCTTATTCTATGTCATAAGCTGTTTGAATAACTTTCAACAAGTGGTTATGCAGTTACTCCGGGTTGTGGATAATGCTTATGTTAGAACTTATATTTTTAGGCCATTAATTGACTAAGCTATCTAAATGACACCTTTTCTTATTATTTTTTGTATTTGTTCAGTTAAGTTTTGGTAACATATACAGTTTCTTTTGGTTCTACATTCCAGCATAATACCTAAATAGTAACTTTTTTATTTTTAATCAGTATCTATTTAAGAATCACTGTTTTCTTCTTTTCATTCTTTTTTTCTTTACTTCTGTTAGAACATGTGCTTATATTCCATTTAAATTATTCAATTATCTTGTTTTGGTTATGTACATCTTAGTTATGTGTCTTTATTAAAGGTACTTAAGTTTCTTATATTTTGAGGTATTTTCCAAGTTAATCAAAGACCTATATCTAGAAACTGTCGTCAGAAGAACTATGATTCTGTTAAACTTTTGTTTATTTCTTTTCCATTATTCCTACTGCAATACAATTGTGCTTTCTTGAGTGTAGTGCTTGTATATCTTTTCTTATTGGGGTAAATGACTGTAGTTGTAGTCTATGTTTTGGCAGTTCCCTTTTGCTCTTTCCATTAGTTTTTTTTATTTGGTTAGTTGGTTGATCTTTATGCTCTATCTGATCGACATGTTGCAGTACAATCTTCACATCAAGGATTAAATCTTGGTTTGGTATTGTACATCAATTTATACTATTTTTTAGGTATGAGTCTGTGCTGGATGGTGCAGTGGGTGGTGGTAGGTGGTGTTGGTAGAGTGTCTGGATACAGCACTGAGGAACAGGATGAGCAGTGAGGGACAGGGAGGGTAGCAACTAGTTAAGAGAAAAGTGGCGCTGCTCCTGTTGGCATGGTGGTCAACAGCGAACGATGGCAGTAAGGGAGGGGAGAATGGCAGCAGTGAGTAAGATGGGACTGGGAGAGAGGCTTAGGGTTTATAGGATTCAAATAATGGTACTTCCTGCATTGGAAGGTGCCTTGTGTATTGGGTTTGCTCTTTCTCAGATTCAGGTATTGATACTTCCTGATACAAACTTGTTATTGGTATACGATAGGTGTACTGAGCATTAAGTAGTGCCTTGGACCAATCTGAGTGAAACGGCCTAGTGTGTATACCTGTTTGCACTGAAACCATCAAGTACTGGTTTGCACCGACTGGTAAGGATGGAATGTGACTATAAAATTCATATTAACATTTTGGATTTTCATATTCTTCCTTTTTTTCCATAAAGCCTAAGTCTACTTGATGCACTTCTGATTTTTCCCCCCTTAAAAGAACAATAAATGGTGGCTGAAGCACGCAAGATTCTACACTTTTTAGTGCACTTCTGAACTGATTCTAGTGATAATGTAAAGGCATAGGCAGACTTGTTCTAAAATGCAGCAAAATTTGATCTCTACAGTTCTCTGCTGATACATAATCATTGCAGTTCTGCTGTTTAGCAGCTTGTTCCATAAAAACTCCAAGTGAAAAAAAGTGGCGCAGTTTAGAAAAATTGAAAATATAAAATGAAAATGTGAAGAAAGTTAATAAGAAAGAAGTTTGTGCTCTGCTTGTGTTTAACAGCCTTCGACCTTTAAAAGCACTGATCTTCTACTTGTTACATTAAAGTAAAAGGACATTCTAAAGAGTAAAGACCAACCTAGGAGAAAGTCTTCTTAGTACTAACTTCTTTCTTAAATGAGGTCTCTTTTGCTGTGCGCTTCATTGTTATTGTATATCTGTATATATATATATATATATACTTGTTTTCAGCTTGACAGGAATGTTGCTTCCACTATGAATATTCTTGGCTAATATATGCTATGGTCCTTATGTTTCCGACTTTGGAAATTAGGGATTCTCGAACTGGATAACACTACTCTAGCTAATTCCTTGGTCTATCTAGATATTAGAACCAAGGTTTTCCTTTTCGGGTATCGGACTAGTTTCAGCAATCTATTGGAATGGGATGTATCGGTTTGTATCGGTGTATTGACACGGTATGCCAATGCGTATTGGTGTTTCGACGTTTTGACGAGGAAGAAAAAGAGGGTGAAGAGGAAGGGGCAGTGGAGGATCAGAAGAAGAAGAAGAAGAAGAAGAAGAAGAAGAAGAAGAAGAAGAAGAAGAAGAAGAAGTGCAGCGACAGTGTACCTGGAAAGCAGTGGTAGCGGCAGCATCACAGTGGCGAAGAGGCAGCGCTGCTGCAGTGGCGAAGTAGCAGTGGTGAGCACTTCAGCATCGTATGCGAGAAGGGGGCTTGCGTTCGCGAGTCCTAATTTGTTTTTTTCTTTTTTAACACTGAAATGGACTGGCACCCACCATTTTTTGATTTTGTTTTACTATTTTAATCGGATCGCTCGAAACGTGGACGGTCCATGTTTCGGTCCTTGCCCAGACCGGTATGTACAGCCCATACCATACCGTTTCAGGCAGTACAGCAATCACTATTAGAACAATAAAATTCTACGTTTGAGATTGTTGCATTGTCTCTAGACCAGTTAATGGACGAAGATCATGCTTGCTTGCTGTGTCCGTATTTTACACGATTTGTATAGATTTCCTGTAACTGTCATTTTATATTCTTTTTTATTGAAGATACTTTAAAATGCACGGTAACACCATACTGACTGTTTATGCAACTAAAATGCAAAGCAGAATTTTGTTAAATCCTTGGTAAAGATTAACATATACTTTATTCTGCCTGTATCAGTTTCTTTTGTTTTAACTTCTTTTTTAATTTGACACAATGATCAGTGCCAAATCTTGGAGTGCACAATAACTTGGGGCTACACTTGCATCAGGATATTTTGACTAGTGTTGACAATGCAGAGATTGGTTTTGTAATTGTTTACAATCTGAAAAATGTTCCACTATCCAAAAGATTGGTTATAATTTGTCTTACCCGATTTACAAGGGAACATAATTTTGAGGCACCTGCCATTTTTCCACGTCCATTGCTTTTGTTTTGCCAATTTCTCAAATTTCTATAAACACTTGACTTATTCATGTTGGAATACACATAGTTATGAGATTCTGATTCTGTAATACTTAAGGTTGAAGTTTTCTTGCTTATCTTTGCTTATTTGTTGACTTCTGAACCTGTTCAGTCATTTTATTTATATCCTTGTTGGATTCATATTTCTAATATGGTTTGCATCATTATATATATATGTATATATATACGTATATGTATATATGTATATGCATATATATGTATGTGTGTGTGTGTATGTATATATATATATGTGTGTGTATGTATCATATTAGTATGGTTTGCTCAGATTAAATGTTCTGGCCAATCTTTTGGCTATTGAATGAAAGGATGGGTTCTGACTTACACTTCTTGTTTTGAGCTTTGTTTTTTGAGAAATATGGTAATTGTAGGAGTATAGCTTGTGTTGGTGCTCCAACATTGTGCGAGGGTGTAGGCAATTCCATTTTGGTCTTTGTTGGCTTGTCACTGGTATGGTATTGAGCCTCAATTTCTTGTAATTGTTAGCTAATGTATAGAGGGATCCTGCAAGCTTAATTGCTTTCTGGATGGTTATTGGAATTGTTATCTAGTCTTCTTTTCATGATGAAGCTCGAGGTTCTTTGTGTCATTTGATTATGTTTCGTAGTCTTACCCTGCATTTGATGTTATAATAACTACTACTAAACTGTATACTTTAACTCCAAAAATATTGGTTATAATAGCGTTGGCCCTCTGTTCTCCAGTTGGATCTGGATAATTTTCAGACTCTGGGATCCCTGTTTCTTGTAGGGGCAAACTGCAGGCTGAGTGGTCTCAATGCATGGTCTGCGTCAGTGTCATTGAAATCAAGTGCAAGTTAATTTTCCACACGCAGAGTGCATTTTTATTTATAACTGCAAGGGAATCTTGCCTAAATCTTCTGTGTGTTAAATTTTGTATAAATCAGTATATATTTAAATTTTATCTAACATAGAGGATTATCTCTGTAGTAAATATTTACAATAGAGTCTTCTACTGTAATGTTTTGCTAGTCTGTGAATAAATCATTACATAGTGGCATGCCTTCGCCATGTGATGCCATTGCATGTTCAGATGCTTGAGGAGATGATAAAAAAGAGGTATTCATATTGACAAATTTCTCCTAGAACTCGTGTGCTACATATTTTGGACATGCTTAGTAAGATAATTTTGCCGAAGTGATCTTTTCATTATAAAGACAGATATAGCAATACGATGCTTTCCAGCACAAAGCAGAATGCAATTATGTGTAAATTTGAAATGTCTTACTTCCACGGTTTACAAGCTTTTCCTAGAACTTGGGCTGCTGCAATTTGTCGACATGCTTATGTTTGGCTTTCATCTTAATATATTTGATCTTCATTTATACTTCTTTTAACATTGATCAACTGCAAGCAACTTTTAACATTTTTTAGACATGCTTATGTTTTTACTTTAAGATGCGATTATGTGTAAATTTGAAAAGTCTTTCTTCCATGGTTTACAAGCTTTTCCAACAACTTGGGCTGCTGCAATTTGTATACATTCTTATGTTGTGCTTTCATCTTAATATATTTGATCTTTGTTTTCTTCTTTTAACATTGATCAACCGCAAGCAATTTTTCTTTGCATTTTTTGTTACCTGGCCTAACCTCTATATTTTGTGATAGTGTACCTTGGCTGTACGACCTTCTTCTTGTCATATTTTTTTATTTGGCAACCATTGTTGCTGTATGTTTTATATTTAGTATGTGCTTTTTGAGAACTAACACAGAAAGTAATGGTTTCCTTCCGGATGAGAATTTTGCAAGGTGCCTGCCATGTATAATTTCATATTAGATTATCATGTTGAATATCTTAATCTCCATAATCCTTATCAACTGGTTGAATGGAATCAGTTGGCTGCGACTATGCCACTCTGATAGTTCTTTTGCCTCAAATTTGAAACCTTTTGTTAGCTGTGGCACTACATGTTGCTTTTGTTCAGACTATTTGTCTAGATATGTCGACTGCTGCTAGTCCATTAGGTTCTCATGTGAAGAGAAGATAGGTGAGCATTCAATGTACCTTGAAATTGTTTCTTCCTGGTATGGTAAGTTGATGGCCTTCTTCATTTTAATCAATTGTTTGTATCATTCATCACATTGCTTCGTAATTCTCTTTGTTTATTGTGCTTTTGTTAAATTCTTTGTTTGACTCAGATGTTCTTTTTTGAGCTATACGCATGCAAAAATTACATAAATTCACATCAAGTAAAATGTACATGCAGAATCGTGTCAGGAATCCAGCTATGGCTGGAGGGTATCCTCAGCAAGGCTACCATCCACCTCGTCCTCAAACAAGTTGGGGTCCTGCTGGCACACCCCCCATGCAGCAACCTGGTTATGGTTACATGCCACCAGGAGCTTATCCTGGTCAACCACCTCAGTATAATGTACCTCAGCCTCCTTATGCGGGATATCCTCCACCCTCGTCTACTGGTTTCTCTTCTGGGTGGGACCAAACATCCAATCAGCCTGGTCAGCAAGCTGCACCAGGTACTGGATATGATTACTACAGCCAACAATCTCAGCTGCAGCAACAACCTTATGGGGGATCTTCTGCACCTGCTGGAAACACAAGTTACAATTATGGACAAGTGTCTTATGGTGATGCTTCTTACTCTCAGACAACTGTTGGCCAACAACAAAGTTATGGACAGGATGGATATTCTAGTGGTTATAGTGCTCCTGCTCCTCAAACTGGATATTCTCAGCCTGCACCAAATGTCCAGACTGGGTATGATCAACAGAGCTATGGTTCAACACCTAGCTATGGATCAATGACTAACCTCTCTCAGGATGGATCTGCCTCTGCATATGGTACTCAGGGTGTGTCTGCTCAAGCACCTCCAACTCAACAAGCTCCATCAAGTCAACCTTCTGACGTCCAAGGGTACACAGGTCAACCAATAAATAACAGCGCTGCTAGCTATCCTGCCCAGGCAACATCGCCATCAGGATATGGCATTCCCCCAACGTCACAGCCAGGATATGGGAGTCAACCCCCTGCTATGACTGGATATGGCCAAGCAGCGGCACCTAGTTATGGGCAGCCTTCTCAGGTCCAGAAGCCGCCAGGTACTCAGGCTGTTTATGGGCAGGGTCAACAACAGGCTCTGTCTACTCCATCTGGCTATATGCAGGGTGCTCCTGTGCAATCGGGTTATGGTCAACCTCCAACCTCACAATCTGGTTATGGGCAACAACAGTCGTATGGAGTCCAAACGCATAACCAACCAGGTTATGGTCAGCAACAGCAACAATCATATGGTGACTCTTATGCTGGTGGTGGCTATGCGCAGCCTCCTGCATACTCTAATGACAATGCTGCTGCGCATGGGACCTATGATGCATCTGCTGCTGCACCTGCTGTTTCATCTGGTGCAGCAGCGAGCAAGGCACCCCCGACTTGAAGTCTGGTAAGTCATCTGTAGGACTTCCTCTTGTGGACTGGTCTGTATTTTGCTCAGGCGATATCTAGGAGTTATCAATTCTGGCACTTTGGACTTGGTTTTTCTTATGATGTCTTGCAATTTGGATTATCGGACCAATGGTAAGTATGTAGACTGTCTATTCTTACCCATAAAATGCTGAGTGAACTGTCATATGAGAACCTAGCAATGTAACTTGGGTATTTGAGATCAGATTATCACATCACGCATCAGCAGCACCATTTTCTAACTAGCTTTCCATGGAAATGATGGGCCGTTTTTGGGTGTCTAAAGACGATTGCTGAATTGCAGTCTCTTTTTGAGCTGCAAAAAGGAGGCTTTTCTGCTGCAGTGAAAGGTGAAGCATTTAGGTTACATTGGTTCACTGATATATATCCAGTTTCCTGATGCTTCTAAGGTTTGATAACAGGAAAACACCAAACTGTCAGTCTGTCTATTAAGGCTGATTAGTTGCCTTAATAGACAACTAATAGATAACAGGAAAACACCAAACTGTCAGCATTTTATTTCGCTGTTCTGTATGCTTCTCTTGTGCTTTATGTTATCTCATGTCAACGCAGGCCTCATGAGCTGGAATGCTTTTGGGTTGGGAGTAATGAAATGCTTAGCGACCAAAGTTCATCAGATGATATCATTGTGGCTCGCAATGCTTTTGGCTATCGTGAATCTATGCTTGGAGTGGCAATTGGGCTCGCCATCCCTCTTTGGAGGACTGGTGCACCAACTCGCTGTTCTTACAGTACTTTCTTTGATGGTTTTGCCAGTGTTGCGCTCTCATGGTTCCCAAACAAAAAAACTGGCCAGCTGCTGCCATCATCTCAGAGAACCCGATCGAAACATGCACCCGACATATAAATCCTGTACGGACCGGATACGGCCTTAATGGTTTGGTTCTTTACAAACGAAACCGGATGATCACCGTGTGGCTTTCTGCTCGATCCGGAGAAATGCGAGTGAGGGATGGATATGCTTTCCCCCTTCGTTCGATAAGAGCTTTGGGAAACTCGGGAAGAGCTCGAGCAGAAAGATATAGCTGGCGCAAGACGAGCTCAAGTAGAAAGATATAGTTGGTGAAAACCCTGTGCTCAAGCAGAAAGATACAGTTGGCACAAGACCATCATCCCTTTGCTTTGTGTGTTTGGCTTGACCTTATAGAAGAGTTCCGCCTCCGTCCTCATTTGTAGTTACTGGTGCCTAACTTGCTTGCCATATATGATTCTCTTACGTGACTTCATACTCGCCCTAGAGCTCAAAGTCCGGCGATGAACCTCGATGTGCTCAGCGAGTAAGTAGTATTGCGAGAGTTTGAGTAAACAAGCAACAGAGGACCAAGCGGAACGGGAAAGGTTTGATTGTTCTGTTAGATCTGGGGTGCCAATAGAAGTATTATGATTTGGCCGAGCAATCAACGGAAAGAAAGCGCCTGCATCTTCACAATACGGCTAATCGGGAAAGCACCGATAGAATTCAATATCACTTGAGCAGGTAAGGCGGAGAAGGGAGTTAATGCCGGGAGAGCGGCTGGGAGGAGAGGGGACCGGGCGGCGATCGTGGCGGCAATGGATGAGCCAGAGGACAGTCCTAGTCGCGGCGGTGGTCGCAGCGGCAAAAGAATCCACCGTGAATGGACTCGGGAAAGGAAACGTAGGGGAAGAACGAAGAAGGGGTGTGGTTCGATGGTTGGCCGCGGAGGGCATCCCGTGATTTGCGCCCGACGGAGATCTGCAAGAGGATGTCTTCGCACTATTTTGGGTAAAGGTTCGGTTTTTCTTTTCGGCTTTGTTTCCAATAGGTTCTTATCATTCTTCTTTGCCAATTATAGGCAGTCATCCTGCTCTGTTTTCCTCTCAGAGAGGGAAGGCGGAGGAGGAGGACGGACTGTCTTTTCTTTTTCGCTTATTGTCATTGTTTTTGTGAATCAGGCTCCGTTCGAGGTACTTTTTGCAGCCCTTCTGAGATTTTTATTACCTTTTTGTTTGGTGGAATTATGCCGAAGGTGTTTTTTTATTACTCTTATCAACTCATACTTCTTTTGTGTTGATTCTGGATCTCTCTCTCTCTCTCTCTCTCTCTAATCTTCAAAGTATCTTAGTTTGCAATTTTTTTTAGTTTTCATCTGATATTGATTTTATGATTTTGTATGTCTCAAAACTTCTGCTTTATAAGATGCCTTGAATAGACAACAAGCCTTGGTGCCACGATAAGATTGCTTCTAGCTGGGAGTCAAGAGGGTAAGGTTTCGTACTTTGATCCTTTCATAATGTGCCTTGGTAGGCGGTTCATTCATGTTGATGCACTTTTAAGATGTTCTTGATTGAATCCTTTGCAAAATCATGATCAAAGGAAAAATGGTTGTTCGTACCATTGAATCAGAGGTCAAACCGATATAATGTAAAATTCTGAAATCATGAATAGTATGTTCATGAGTTCAGGCTTGCAGAAGTTAAATCAAGGAAATGTGTGGAGTTTGTGTTATCCCAGTCATATTTTGGATCGTCGTTGTCTTGGCATCAAGTGTTGATTAACGAAAAGTAGACTAACTGCAATAGCTTAAATAAAGATTAGTAGCTTTGTGTTCTTAATAATACGCTCAAGCCTCCCTTAGCTTCTTCGAAGTCACCATATGTGCTCTTGTAAGTGCACAGATTGCATCATTTTATCTGTCTGTTCTATGATCTTCTGAATTTCTTATATCACAACACACTTCACTCCTGTATTTTGCAACCATTCTGTTATGAAGCATTTATGGATTTCATATTGGGCTTGTTTCAAAAGTTTCTTATTTGTAAGATGATCGGAGTAGTCACATGCTTCAGTAATTGGAATTAGAAAAATTCATCCATGATTATCTGCCACCAGTGGGAAGTCCATTTCCAATTCATTAATGATAATATAAGGCAGTCCATCTGATCCATGTTAGGTATTCATTTATCTCTATCTGTTGTAGTTCCAGATATATTTTCCTTTTAAATGCTTCCTCTTAAGTGTTACATCTTGCATTTTTTTTTTTTTTTTTGTATGCTGAGAAAAGGACAACCATATATTTGGGAGACCAGGGTTCGAGTCACGGAAATAACATCTTTAAATATTTGAAGGTAAGATTACATAATTGACCCTTCCCATACCCCACCTTGTTTACACTAGGTACGCCCTTTTGTTTACAAAACTATATGGCTCCTGTGAACTAGGGAAAGAATTGTGAAGGTTGATATTGTGCAATTAGAAGCAGCTGAGTGATAAATTAGTGACTTCTTTAGAATAGATTCATCAGTTATCTCAGTTCTTAAGGGCAACACATTTTCAAAATATCAATAATTTTGATACTACAGTCACATGTGAAAGGCAACACATTTACAAAGTTTCTCGTGTTTTGTGATTCTGTGTGCATGATCCTAAGCCACTTATCTGTTATCAATTTGGTAATTTTTTACTGCTGTTTTGCTTTATGATCTTAATACAATAAGCACCAAAAAAGTTTCTATTTACATTCTCTAGCTTTTTTTTGTCTCATTAAGCATTTATAGGTTTCATCTACAAGTTAGCAAAGAATCATTTTTTTTTTTTATTTTCAACAGAATTATTTGCTTGATGCTGTAATGTGGAACTTTAAGACCTGATTCAGACATTGCTTATGGATTCTGAACATGGGAGAGAAAGTTCTGAATATTACAATGCAAATCAAGGGCATGAAAAGGCTGGTATTTCCGGTGTCAAGGTTGATAACCCTGATCTGCCCAAGCCAGCAATTAAGCCTAAAACTGTGAAAGAAAGATCATGCTCAAATTCCTCTTCTTCAAGCACTTCATCAGAGGAGGAATTCTTCCAGTTAGATGCAAGTGAGCTTGGCAAGCCAATGGCAGTTGTTCATGAGATGCAAAGAAACGACTTGCAACCTTCACTTCGTGTGGAAAATACACAAGTAGAAGCAGGTCTAGGCTCAAGTAAAGGGCCAACAGAAATATCATTCTCTTCCTATGATTCTAATGGCAGTCCTGGATCTGATAATTCTGGCAATGCTGGAACAAAGCAGTCTCCTCCGGTTCAATCAATGTATAGATCAGATGTCCCTGATCCAAATAGGATACCTTCTTCTGTATTCGCAAGGACAAAGTCCACTACACCAATGGAATGGAGCGTGGCTTCTAATGAATCGTTGTTCAGTATCCATATGGGAAAATCTGGAGATCTGACCGGCTTATATGGTAGCCAATTGGACGGTTATCCTCCAATTTCTCCCATGGCTGACATTACCCCCACAAAACGTAGAGCAGGACCTGGTTTACAACAAACAGTTGAATACGGAGCAGCAAATGATGAAGCTATGAAGGATGATGTTTTAAAGACAACCATCGAGGAGAATGCTGAAAATGACAAATCTCGTGCAACTGATGGTATTCGTCATTCTGATAGCACATCTCAGTTTTCTGATGGTGGCAGTGTGAACAGCTATCGTTCTTTTGCATTTCCAATGTATGTACTTCTCTCACCCTCCGTCATAAAACTGATACTTATAAATATACATATGAATACATTGAGTTGACAATGCATTCACAATCTGAAAGTAGCATGGTTGTGGGGTCCATTAATATCATCTTAATCCTTATGAAACACAACTTGACGTACTGAAACTGATACAATTCAAGCTTTGCTATATGTTGCAGCTGTTATTGCATTTGCTCAATGTAGCATCTTAAGAGGGAATTGTTAGGGTTTTGGTTAGGATCAATTTTTCTATTTGATGCATCTTGGGATGACTTGGCTATGAAATTTAGATGTCTGTGTAAAATTGATTTTTCCTCTTCTAAAAGTGATCACTTGGCTGTCTCAGATTGACTGCTGAAGGAAGAAATGGGTCTGTGAAAGAATCAGTGCGTCCTGCATTTCAAAAGGAACAGCTCGAGCAGCCTCTACCACAAACAGAGCATCAAGAAGCAGAGCCTCCAAAAGAAGAACCAGTTGCTGCCCAAAAGACGTGGCTTTCGTGCTTTTCTTGTTGCTCATCACGTTGCTGACTTAGTGAGCAATAAAGCAACCTGATTATTCCTTTAAATTCTATGTGGTTCATCCACTTCTTTCCATGTGAATTGATGAATTAGGATAAGCTAATTGTGTTCAGATATTACTTTGGCTGATCCATCAAACATGGAAAAGAATGTAATTCATTGTGTATTTCTCTGAGAGAAAAACATCAGGATGTCTCTTTCATGGCAGACAAATGGTGAAGTTGGATGGATAAACCTTTTACTTTGATGCCAAAATGGAAGAAATGATATGCATATATACATGTGGGATTTAAGACTGACTCGTTAATTAGGAGTCTCGAAAACTTGTAATCGTTTGCTAAATTATATGCTACTTTGTTCTCTCATGCAACCTATTTTTCTGGCTGAATTTTCTATATGGTGAATTTGTTTTTTCTTTTTTTTTCCCCTGTAATTCTCTTGTAGATTTATGGTGAATACTCCGATGGCGATGGCTGTGTTTGAGGCCTTCATAAACTCTCAAAATCCATTTATTTTCTTTTTAGCACTGGTAGATTGATGCATAGTGGAGAGATGGTGGAGTCAACAAGCTGGTATTCTCTCTAACCTTCCATGGAGCCTCTATCTTGTGGTTACAGTTCTACTTCTCAACCTGGCCAACTGGATGGACAATGGTGGAAAGTTCTAAAAGATCAGAATTGTGATGGTGATTACTAGCAATCTTGTGCACATTCTCTCAAGATGATTCAGAATACAGCAAATGTTTGAATTAAAATCTCACACATGTATTCTCTATCATGCCAGTGGTTAACAACTCTTTGTCCTGCATTTACTGAAGTAAGAGCAGTTTTCCTTACTTCTACAGGTGATTGTTAGCCATGTCTTTGCAGGAACTGAATTCTTTCTGACAGACACAATCACACTCATTCTAAATTCTGATGGATAACAGACATGCAAAACTTGACACAGGAAATAATTGAGAGTTGGGAGAGAAGAAATTAGCATAGTAAATAAGAACAGGGCTAAATTATATATAATATATGGACAGAAGACACATCAAAACAAGGAACATAATTACAATGCTTTCAAGTTATTTCTCAGACACACTCACCAACAAAGGAAATGATGATTTCATAAAGAAATTGGTCAAGAGAGATTTGCACCACATTTACTTGTCCCACAAACTACAGCATGTATCAATGAGGAGGCGCATGATTCATAGGAAATCATTTTTTTTTATTTAAAAAAAATTAATACATCAAATGACATACATAATGCTCATCATTTACATGAACTCGAATATGAAACTTATCATATGTATAAGAATATACCTATCGATTTAGATAACTCGAGACTAAAAGGCAATTCTTGAATTGAGTATATTCTACGTCACTTGAAGAAAACCAAACATCGTATGTATGTATAGAAGTGACACAATGCATCGAGAGATTGGATTCCTTTGTTATGCATGCATTTGAACACTGATTTCGATGTGGCAACTCCAATATCAAAAAAAGAAAAAGGAAAAACATACGCAAGTAGAAACTAATACGAGAAACAGAGAATTTGAAGCATCCGATGAAAGCATTTGCCACGATGAACAGTCGCAACACCATGAAAAGGCAAATAATTAATGCAAACAAGAATAAAAAGAGAAGAAGCTTGCTTTGTTCTTGAAATATTAGGGGAACGCATTCTCAATCCATCGTAGCTACGCCACCAACTATGTTGGCTTGTCATGTCAGAAGGAAGATGACGACATATATTATTCATTGCTTCGGATATGACAGAACGCAGCGTCTCAAAGGAATCACCATTTGCACGGGAGATCCCGCGCCTCCAAAACCATTGCTGCCGGCCGATCACGACGGCGTCTCGTCGGGGTACGCGAACGAGTTGTTCCGAGACGTCTGCTGCGACCTCGGCGACCTCGGGCGGTAGGACCTCTGCCGGTTCCCCTTCTCGTCCAGCACCACCATCTCCTCCTCCTCGTCGTCGCTCCCGACCTTGCACTTCTCCCCCAGGATGATGGTCTTCTTCCATATCGTGTCCTCCCCATCGCCCCCCTTCCGCTCTCTCCTGCTGGCCCTCAGCTTGTCCGGGAGCCCCCTGCTGAAGCTCAGCGAAAGTTTCTGCTTCGAGGCCGACGCCGGCAGCACGGTCGGGGGAAGGGGCCCGTGCGTCGCGACGTCGGGTGCCATCTCGATGACCGTGACTCGCTCCTCCTGCGTCTCCTGCGGTGGTGGTTTCTCCTCTTCTTCTTCCGAGGCTTGCGCCGCCGTTGCCTCAGCTGCAGGCTTCTGCTCCTCGTTCGACGGTGGCGAGCGTGGAGACCCAGACGAAGACTTGGTCGACGACTTGCGATTGCATGTAGCACAGAGGGAGAGAAGAACGGTCATGGTGGCCGCGACCCATGCGACGACGAGGAAGAAGGCAAGTGCCGGGTGGATGGCATCGGGAGGAATCGGTGTTCTTCTTCCCATGCTCGATGGCGATGAACAAAGTGCTACATTCCGATCACACTAATGGCGAACTAAAGCTGATTCTTACGAGAAAAAGAAGGTAAAGAGAACGACTCCTCTCTCTTAACATGCATTGTGGAGGAGAGAGGGAAGAGAGGTGGTGGAAATGGCTTTGGCTCATGCTTTGTGGTTATAGGTGAAATGCGTTCTCTCTTCCAACTAAAACATACTAAACTAAGGTGATGTTAACAAGGAATAAGGGCGAATACAGCATGTCTGTCTATAAACATGTAGTTGACTTGTTCTTCTTCATTGATATGGATTTAGTGTGTCTAATTATATGTATAAGATTTCTGGGTAGAAGATAAAGCAGATATCTGTAGTATGTTACTTACTACAAGCTTATTGTGAAGCTAAAAATTATAGTTGTTCAATCATCATTAAAATTTCAAGTTCAGTAGGGGGAAGAATCCATCTATGCTGTATTGTTATTCTATGAGAAAAATAACATATATGTTGGCCTTTTGTTGGGAGGAGTTTTGAAGTCTTAATATATTTTCCTTTATGCAAAATGAAAAGGGAATGCCAAAATGTTTCACATTGAATTATCAAATGAAAGTCTATACAAAAAAACCTTAGTTGAGGATTAAAATGTTGAGTAAGTTAAGAAAAATCCAAAAAAAAGAGAGAGTTTCTGTCTCTCTAGAAAATTAATTTCTTCTCACTTGGGCATTATGATATTTGGTATGGAATTATTAAGGCATTATAATTAATTTCTCCAACTCAGATATCTCATTTACAAATAAGGATTCACTAATAATATCCGGACTTGGTTTGCAAGTTATGAGCAATTAATATTTTGTAACTATTTTATCATCATCTGCCACATATGGAATTTGTCGTTAAAGAGAAATTTCTTTTCTTTTCCTTTTTGCTAATAAATTTTCATTTATCCAACATCATGTTGTTTTATGGCTAAAGTTTGCCCCCATTGGACAGTGCCATCATATCATATTAAGTTAATTATAAATTACCACATGTAATTAACTACATTTATCATTCTAGTTCATGTATTTTATAAAAGTAAAATATTTAAGTTCATTTATCATAACATCGTCGACTTATGAAATACGAAAACAATGACAAAAGAATAATTTTAATATTTCAGTTGATGGTGATGGACGATAACATCACTAGGGGTCGCGGGTGACTGTTGTGAATGAAGAGAGTGTTAATGAGAAATAGGGCTACTCTCTATTTGCGTCGACACAAACGTAGTTACCAAACAATAAAAGAGCTGCTTGACATTTATATTAGCGTTGATGCAGATGTAGAGTGACGTCACTTGATATTTGTATCGGTGGCCCTTTCGTCGCTCAACAACTATGTCGACGTCGACGCAAATGTAGAGTGACGAAAAGACCACTCGATAACTATATTTATGTCAATGCAAATGTAAAGCAATTCTTACCTTTTGTTACCGCTCTCCTCATCTACAATAGTTATCTGCCACCAACAACGTCGTCCATCACTACCAATTAAAATATTAAAATTATTTTTTTATTCTTTATTTTTATGTTTTCGTTAGTAAAACTGATAATATTAGGATAAATGAATCTAAATATTTCACCGTTGTAACTATATGATTATTAATATAATTTTTTAAAATACAACGATCCGAATGCTAAGGATAACATATAATTAACCCATCATACCACATCAAATGTTTCATTTTTAACATTAGAAAAAGATTCAAAAGAAGAGAGAGAGAGAGAGGGAGAGAGAGAGAGAGAGAAAATTTTAATTTGCAAAATCTAAATTCTTAAGAATCCATTTCCCATCTGATATCTTCACCATCATATGTCACATCTCAATTATTTATCTTTTACACAATCCCCCCATCTGTCATGCCATGTCTCTTTCATCTCTTTCATCTAGAATGAGACCAGGGTGATTATTGATTTGATTGATATTGCTATAGATTTCATGTCCCTTGATATCTCTGTGATAACAACCTTAAGAGAAATGAAACTACCAACAGAAACAATAAGTTTCACACCAAACCATAGGAAAAGGTTTTTAAGTGTCATAAATATCTGACACTGGCATCAATGTCAGGAGCACTTAATCTTCTGCCCAACTTGCCTGGAATTTTATTGGTTGTATTTGATGCTATAAGAAATCTTGATACTGTAGGAAGTCAAAATACTGCAGGCAATCAGACGAGGGCTTGGTTGGCTTGGAAATCTATGAATAGTTTAAAGAATCTGATATGTAGACTTGGGAGTCCAAGATCCAATGAGTCCAAGATTCTTCAGCATCCAAAAGAGACAGAAGCAAGGGAAGAAGACAAAAGAGTTGGTCATCAACAAAGTTTTACCTTTCCAACTTGCCGAAAATGTCCTGTTCAGAGAGAATGACAATGGAATCTAATCACTAATCCATGTATTGTATGAGCTAAACCTCTGTCACAAGAGTCAAAGATAGCTGACAATGTCATCTAGATTTCAAATGTGACAATGTAAATTTAACTCCATGCTTCTTAATCAAAACTGTACCTCAGTGCACAGTGCATCATTAGAGAAAGAGGACGTACGTAAAAAAAACAGAGTTCTACTAGTGACCTTGAAGACAATAAAAATCTATTACTTGATGGTGTTTCCAAAGGCAAAACTTTGGCCCTTGGGAATGCTAAAATAATTAACCCTGACCGAGCATTTATTAGTATAGGTGGAATAGTCAAATTAGTTACTTGAACGAAAGAAAATGTTGATGCACTAATTTAAGACTAATTATTCTGATTTTACCAAAGGAAATATAAAATAAAGAATAAAAAGATAATTTTAATGTTCTAGTTGACGGTGACGAACGACATCGGTGGTGATGGATAGTGATACTGTTGAGAATCACGAATGACTATTATGGATGAGAAGAGCAACGATAAAAGGTGAGGGTTGCTTTGCATATGCGTCGACATAGACGTAGTTATCAAATGGTCCTTTCGTTGCTTTGCATCTGCATCGGCGTTGATGTAATTATCGAGCGATGCAAGGTCCGTCGATGTATATACCGAGCCGTGCCACTTTGCATCTATGTCAGTATCGACGCAGTTATCAAGTGATGTCGCTTGGTATCTACATCGACGGTCCTTTTGTCGCTTAATATTTGCATCGACGCCAACGTAGATGTAGAGCGGCGTTGCTCGACAACTGCATCGGTGTCGACGCAGATGTACAGTAGCCTTCATCTCTTATCATCGCGCTCCTTATCTACAACAACCTTCTGTGGCCTCTAGTGACATCGTCCTTCGCCACCACGGACATCACATCCATTATCACTAACTTGAATGTTACAATTAATTTTTTACCTTTTATTTTTATATTTTCGTTAGTAAAAATGATAATGTTAGGCTAAATAAACATAGATATTTTATTTTCGTAAGTATAGGAATGTTAATTTAACTTTTTAAAATGTACGGATAAAAATACTAAAGATAACTAACTACGAGATAATATATAATTAGCCCACTAATAAGAGAGATACAATAATTGAGACAGATAATTGAACGAAGAAGAATGCTTTAAGAGACTCAATTCAGCATTATTCCTCCTCAGCTTGCAAAACTATAGCAGATTGCTAGTATTGATCAATGACAGAGACCTTGGTGGTAAGCACCATTCACTCGCACAACATACTTATACATACACGACAACAAGATGTTGAACAATAAGAGCAGACACAAATTACTCACACACACCAATGCTGTAAAAGAAGGAACTAAGAAGTTACATATGTGTGTTGCTCATGGCAATTGTAGTTCTCCTTGTCTCTGCTTCCTGTCAACCTCTTCTTATCTCTTGGTGGAAATGTAGCCACTAGTTTGGAAGACAAAGCCTTGTGATTGGAACAAGCATCGCTGTTCATGTTGATATCAGCTAAAGCCTTCCTTTGAAACAGAGCATCGCCAGATTGCAGTCTCTGCTTTGTTGCTGTATGTGCACCAACAGCTTTCTTCTTTGCCTTGATTGATTCGGTTAAGTTCATGTACCTGGGCCTGCTCTTGTAGCTGTCTTCGGTTCTTTCTGATGCTAATCCAATCGTACTGGAGATGGGTGTCAGTGTGCAAACAGAAGAGGATGCAGAACTCTCATTGCAGTGCAGTTCAGTGCTTGTAGATGAATGAGTCCTGCAGGATAGGTGGATGGGTGTGGTAGGAGGCTTTGATGAAATCCTGGTGCTCGTATTGTTCTTCTTTGTCTTGACTAAACAAGGTTCCGAGTGTGTTGAAGAGATGCCACACATGTTCTGGGCCTTTTCTTCCATCAATCTGTTCTCCCAGGGTTTTGCAGACATCCAAAGGTCTAACCAGCTCCACTTGGCATTGTTCTTGTCGAAATCATTATGCTTCAGAGATGCTGTTGTTTGGTTGGGCCGACCATTCACTGTTGACTTTGATTGCTGACAGAAAGCAAAGCAAGAACTCCAGTAAGAGCATGTTTTTTGGCTCGAGAAAGAATGTTGTCCACTCTACTTCTGTTCACTAGATGCAATGAGGAACGACAAAACAAACAGTTCAAAGAATCTGGCAAGAAAAGAAGAAGAAACAAGAAAGAAAAATCCAAAGAAAGCTAAAAGCTAAAACTGGCATCCCAAGAAAGCTGCTGCAGCAACAGCACAGAATGCACAAGTAAATTGAGCTCAATACTGCTCCAAAAGATCAATTTGTGATGTATGTGTACCTCTTGAGACATAGCATAAGCAATTGCCCTCTCTCTCTTAAGAACCCCCTCTTGCCTCTTCTGTAATCTTGCTCTTATTGCTTCTAATGTTCCCTGACTGTCACACCATCCTTCCTGCAAAAGAACTCACAAGATTCAACAAAAAGAGAGGAAATGATATGAAATTGGATGATCGTCTAAAATTGTCATACATGCTACTGTTTCAGACATTTCATATCTCCGTAAGAAACTGAACTATTACTCATAGAAATTTCTGAAAAGCTCAGCAACCATTTCAACAATCAATTCCAACAGTCCATAGATTCGACTTCTGGCTTCTACAACCCACTAGATCTCGCCTTTCCTCCTTCACAGTTTGTCTTTGTCAACTAGGAAAGACAGGCCGGAGAAGTATACCTCTGCTTCTTTCAGCAGGTCCTGTTGGCTCCGACGAGCTTCCAGCATCTTCTGCACGGCTTGGCCTTCGGTGGACATGCGGACACGCCGAGCCCGTATGCGCGCTTGTACTCGGACGAGGGCCTGCATGCACCTGAGCGTCACCGCCGCCTGATTCCTCACTTGCCGGCCACGTACTATGGCCTGAAGTCTCACGATTCCTTTCAGTGCCTTGAGAGCCCTCCTGGCCTGCAGTTTCAGTAAGAAGATGGGAAATTTCTTGCTTGAATTTGTTATTTTCAGCCCCAGATAAGGAAGCTTAGCCAAAGCAGAGAGATCTTTGTAGAAATTTGGAGGCATAAAGAAGGAATCTTTCTTACCAGGAAGCCGCGGAAGGCGGTTTGAATCCGGAGCGCAGCCCATTCCTGACTGACGACCCTGAAATCCTTGGGCGGCGCACGAATCACTGTCGCCACCGCTGCGGTGAACGCGTCGGCCAACGACGAGACGTCGGACGCCTCCGACGCCACCGACCGGTGGCTGCTGCCCTTGGAGCCCCTCCACAGGAACAGCTGCTCCCCCGAGGCGCTCCTCCACAGCTTCTTCCACTTCCTGCTCTTACCATTCTCACTGCCACCTCTCTTTTCCTTCAAATCACAAGAGCAAAAGGAGCTGCTTCAGCCAAAGCTTCAAATAGAATGGAACAAGGGGAGGAAAGAGATTGGTGGTAGTAATTACAGCGTCATTCTTCTCCTGCGCCTTGAGGCCTACGAAGGATTTCAACCACTTCCCTGAGCCACCCATTTCTTGAGGCACTTCCTCTTCGGTAGAAGATTCCCAGCTTCGGGAAGAGCATATGGTTTGGTATATATCTTGGTGAAGTCGGGTTTCGTCTCGAGTCTAATGAGCTGAAGCATTGTGGACTGTGGCCGACAGTCTTATCTAGCCGTTTGCTTGGTGTTTCAAATTCAAAAGAGAGGACTGACAGCAAATGGCACAGAGAGAGAGAGAGAGAGAGAGAGAGAGAGAGAGAGCGCATTGGATCCTTTGCTTGTGTTGGGGGGACCGTGGTGTGCATGCGACGCAATGGTGGAATTCTTTAGCTTTTGGGGTGGTTGATGACACTGTCCTACCTCAAAAGCCTTTTTCGAATCCTTTACCTTCCTCGTGTGATGGGGTGAGGCCACCATTGTCAGTGTTAACTCCACATCTGGGAAGAGACATATGCCTAAGAACACCACACAGTTCTTCAGGTTTTCATCTCAATTACACCATTAATCTGCATGTTCTTTGTAGTAGGAAGTAGAGTTTCATGTGTCTCCTCCATTAATTTAAAGCTTTTACACTTCAAGATATTGCGTAGATGCACGACTTGATGCGATTCGAGTAAACAACATGCAGGCTAATTATGGCTCCTATCTTCCATTTACGATGGGACACACATCATCAGGAAGGAATTCAAGATAGTCATCATCGCTCTCGGATTTGAAACCAAAAGCCTGTAGCAGAACTGGCGGCAGTAACAGAGAACGGGGAGCTCAGGAGAATAAATCATCACCGTCTCTTTACGGATGCTGCATGAAAGTGGGAGGAAGCTTTAACAGCATGTTCTAAGCCAGCCAGCCAGTGGGAGTATATGTCCGTAGAGCCTCACAGGAATACTTGGACACGAAACTCATGGTGTTTTCTTGATCTGACAGCGTCAGTTTCAGGTGTCGGTCGCATCTCCTTAATTGCGTTTTTCCATATCTTGCATTTAAGAGCATCCTAAGGTAATTCGATCAGGAATGCAGGTGGCTGTTCTTGTTTGACAGCTTCAGGAATTCGAGCAGGAATTCGTGTTTCTCTGTAAAAGTGAGAGAGTATCTGTGAAATGGCTTTTTGTTTTTTGGATGCTGCTGATCATTTTCAGTATATCGTTCACAGTATAACTTGAACACATCTTTATGGAGTACAACTTTGGATGGGTAACACTTTTTCTCAGAGAAAAGAAGACACAAAATGGAAGATAAAATCTGGACTTCATTTTGCCTTGCAAAAATATATCTCTACATGACTCTTTATCTCCTCATCTAAGAGGACAAAAAGAATGGACTGCATACAGTAATCGACCTCATCTTGGAGGCATCAAAAAAGAAGGAAAAAGTGGGTTATGAAGTCAGATTAATTAACAAATGCACAAAATAAAACAAAACAAAAACTATTTTTTTTGGCCAGATGTCGTGTATCTTTCCTTTATTCACCTTCAAGCACCAATCTTGTGTAAGATATGTGCACCAACTGGGTGCTAGAACTCACAGTCTAGGATCAGGTGTCGAATGACGACTGACAGCAATCAACACCGTCTATGTTTAGGAAGAGTAAGAGAGATGATGGGGGCAGGGAGGGCCATGCTTGCTAGTGTGGGGGATAGCCTCATCCCGGAGTTGGGCCGGGGGGATGGTATCGGATCATTATTCACAATAGGGGAAGGAATGGATCTTGGTGACAAGTTAACTTGCTCGAGTGCCTTGAATTGGAGATCTGTGGGGTAGTTCCGAACACACCTAATTCGAGGCCCAGCCCCAGTTGTCCACTTGCGATGGCGGTGGCCGACCAATCCAACAGTAGTCTCGACATTGTTGCCTTCATTGAACACATCTATTAGGGAATTCAGAGCACCCTCTTCTGCCTCGGTTTCACTCGAGTCACCTGCTTCGAGTGTTTTAGATTCCACTGCACCCCTTGCCCTTGTGCCCTTGTTCATGTCTATCAATGAATCGATCCTTGGCATCTTGAGTGGTGGGTAGTAGTCATCCTCAACGATTGCACGTCTCTGAAGAAAAATTGACCATATGTCAGTCTCTTGCGGGATGTTAAGATCAACATTTACTTAAGTTGTTAAAAGGACTCTTGTAAGCATCTTCCTCGGCCATCAAAACAGCATATATAATAGACATTTTCTTTTTCCAAAAAATACAATTTTCCCAAAGCTGTCTACAACTTAGCTACACAAATGGTTGATTGGAATAGGAAAGAAAGAGGATTACCTTGACATCAGTGAGGCATACGTTGTTCTCTTGAAGAAAGCAGACAAATTCCTTGAAATTTTCCTCGGTCGGAAGGTAATGTCCACTGTATGGCCAAACAGCCTAAAAGAAATAATTAATCAGAAATCAGGTATCAGAGAATTTATTGTTTTTTTCCAGCCTATAGTTCTCAGTTTATTCCAATGCTAAATACTTTAAATGTTAACAGTAGCATCATTGATATAAACAAATGCATTAATATTAAAAATGAACTTTAGATAATCAACTGGACATAATTTTCTGACAAGTACCTTCAGAATCCCCACTTTGGCAATCAATCTTCCTGCAGCTATAGTAGCTCCACCAGCAAGAAAACTCGAGTGCTGAAATGAACCCTTTTCTTTCTGCTCATACATATAAGAAAATTGAGAATTAGATGTCAGCAAAAAGCATGTGACTCTAGGGGAAGAACTTAAGATCACTCTCTTAGAAATAGCATGTAATCTAACTATTCATGATAAAAATATATTCTGCTATGAAACAAAATTCTAGATAAGTACAGAAGATTTTCAAGAAAAAAAATTATATGAAACAAAGTTTCATTTGGTAATTTAAGGTCAAAGTTTCCTGTTTCATAAATAAGATGATGCTAAAGTCAGAAATGTGAAACTCACCTGCCCCACATATAGTGCTTTTGTTGTACTGAGAACAAATATCCATTTAGAACCTTCATTAGTGTCTACAAATTTCCCATTTTGCTTGTAGAGTAGTTTTCCATCCTCTACAACGACTTCATAAGCCTGCCGCTCTTTCTGAATAAAGAATGAAGTCGAATTGAATTGACAAATGTTCAGAATTTCCAAATATGATAATTTCATAAGCAAGGGATGTACCGGTCCAAGATATTTAATGCACTCCTGCTGAAGTTTGGTTCTTGGGCACTTCACAAGATTCACTTCTTTGCCATCACTAACATCCAGCCTTTATGTTTCACACAAAAATCAGAACTAAAGTTTGGTATTCCACTAAGAAGGAAAAAGACAATCGATGTATGTATGTCAGTCGGACATAATTACCAGTAGAAGAATGGTTGTTTGCTCTCACTTTTAACCCATACATCATAATACAGATGCAGATTGTGCCCATATCGATGACGGGGATCGATCTGGAAGCAAAGACAAGAATAATCACTCATTATACCAGCCAAATATTACATTTGCATCATAAAAGTTCTTCCCACCAGATATCCTTCTAAAGACTTGATTTGTCAGTGAGAAAATAAGAATCAGTATCTTTTATTCCCTTATAATGCATTTGGTTTGCGCTACAATACATTTGAAGGATTCTATCAACTATTTTTGAACTTCTCAAAAACTGTGGGCTATGTCTTGGTTCTTTTTTTTATTTTTTTGAGACAATTTAATAAATTTTCAGTGGGAAGATAGAGATAATTAATGTACCGCTTCAAGCCAATGTTGAAGTGCCAGCTTTTGTGCCTTGTGATTCTTGGACAAACCCTTACCAACCTACAAAGAATAGGAAAAGGAATTTCACAATCTCATAGCAGTAGCAATCACTTAAGACGATTAAAACTTCAACTTAGAATGATACTGTGATACCTGCACAGAAGTAGATAAATTTCAAAACTACTAAGGCATGGAATAATAGCAACTGGGCTACCTTGGCCGCCCTTGTTCGTGCCCTAGCCCAACGCGAAGCTGCTGTCTCTGGCTTTTCACCATTGAAAAATGATATGGAGCTGTGTTTTAGAGAGGCAAAATCCAATGCCTTCCACCTGTAACCAAAGGAACATCAAATTAAAAACAAAAAAAATCAGAGAATGCCAATCGATTGATACCAACTCATAACTACATAAGCATAATTCTGGAAACAAACCATAATTCCTCAGCAACTACTGCACAATCTGCCAAATTTCTTCGAGTTCGGTAACTCTTGTACACCTTTTGCAGCTTAACAGCTGCTGCATCAAGCTCTTTGATGGGCCTTGGCGAAACTAAGAGGCAACTTGCTGGATTCAACTTCCGATCTGCAATATTTCCAGTGCCCTCTGCAGGAGGTTCTTTTGTATCATCATCCTCATCCTGATTCTTGGATGAAATATTAGTTTCCGTCTTGACTTTGTCCTGATCCCAATTTTTGAAGCCTAATGATTTTTTCAAGGAAGCACAAGATGTGATCTTGATCATCAACCCATTTTGTTTGCAGCTAGTAGATCTTGTGATCGTCTTGACATCTTTCTCCATGAAGCTCAAAGCTTTCATCTCCTCATCCTCTTCAGTCAAAGCAAAAATCTTGCTTCCCATGAGCTCAACCCATGGGCAACAGAGCAAGGACAAATTTACGCCCATCAAACGAACGGAAGTCTTCAATTTAGCAGTTGTGAGTGAAGAGTCATTCTCCTGCCATATATAACATGAAATGAAAGAACATCTTCATCTAAAATTTGAGCTAATGTGATGTTTCTTGGTACAAAAAGCTCGGTCAATGATAAGAAATATCAATATCACCTTTTTTTAAATGGGTTTCCCAGTCAGCTACTGTTGGAAATGGACATTGTTGTTTGCTAAATATTACAACTATTTGATATCCATCCCAAAATTACAACTGAAAAAGAACTGGTCTCAGCTCCTATAAATTAATTGATTTCCATGATCCATCGATGGAAGGATGGCATCAAACTCGTCGGATACAGGTAGAAACCAAATCATTGACAAAATTATTGATGATATATAGAGTTCTGATCCTAAATGGAAGGGGACTGCCTCGAATGGAGCTCCATCAGTTGCAAAGATGAATTTTTTTTCCTTTCTTTAGTCCAACAAAACACTCAATACTCATCATGGAAAACTAGCGATCAAACTATCAAGCAGTTTTCCTACTACTAGTACTTTTGGAATCCCCAGCCACACCGAATCAAACACTGCAATAATCAATCTCCATACTCTAGCAAAACACACAAATCAAATGAAATACAACCCCAAAGGAACAGGAGATCAGAAACCAAACAAGAACAGGGTGACATAGAGATCTAGAAATCCAAATTTTCAGAAGGAAATAAGGTTCCTTTCATCCTACCTCTGTCACCCAGAAAAGAAATCAAGAACCCCTGAGGTGGAGAGAAGGAAGCGCATAACAAAAAGGGACACCTACCTGGCGGCTGCTGGATTAGTATATATATACTCTTTTACTTGGGCCCGGCGACTGTCGTCGTCAGGCGGGACGAAACGAGTCGTAGGGGGCCTGCAAACTACAACGAAAGTGGGCGGTAAAGTAGTCCAAGCCTTGAAGAGCGCCTCCAGCAGTGACAAATGGTGAGTTGTAGCAATAAAAAAAGGCATTGAATTGGAACTGTTTTCCTGGAGGAGGAAAAGATTGTGTACGATCCAGGATTTGATCCGGAAGGCGACAAGGAAGAGGTGGGAGGAGTTGGTCAAACATGGTGGTGACATTTTTGTGACTCCATCGTCACACCAATGTGGCATTTTGATTTGTGGAAGAAGACAGAGTCTGTATATTGACGGTCTTAGAGAAGATCTAGTTTAGATTGCCACCAACCTCCCAAACTATCCAAGTATTATCGTCTCCACCACTATGAGGTTTTCCTACGACTCAATTGAACAGATTCTTGACTTTTTCTTTGTCAACTAATAACTATTGCATGATGCTGGCAATTTTCTATTACTTCTCAGGAGTTCTCTCCACTTCTACATCACAGCACTTCGTATCTAATGTAGTCAGCACACAAGTTCAGGCTTAGCTGCATAGATAGATCTTCAGTCAACCTTCGCAAAGCTTTTTCTCTACAAATTGTAAGATAACTAATACAACACCAATATTTCTGCATTATTGTAACAAAATACTGCTACAGAAAGTTAAGTTCTATAGTAATCGGCAGCAGAAAAAGGTTAAACTGCAGTAGACAGAAGAACCATCAAGTTTTTTGCTGTGGCATTTGGAGCAGCCTCCTGTAGAGCCATTCTTTGATGCTTGCTTAAAAGCTTTGGCTGCTACTTAGCTAAACATTAATGGCGATTTACTCTCAAATTATGGAAGCTTTGGCATGCAAGTTTTGAAGGATGAAGACTGACTTAGAAAAATTCTGCACCATACATGCCGAGGCGATCTCTAATGTACGTTTTCAATTGTTTTCCACAATAATATAACAACATCATCTGAGACCTGTTCTTCGTTCTGATGTCAAACAAGCAGTAATTAAAGTTCCTTGTCAAGGTTATTCTTGCCGGGGTATCTGTGAGAATGTAACGGGTATCAAAATGAGTTCCGATGATTGGTAGGGAACAAAACTAAGCTCCTCGAAGATGAAGAACAAGTATGCAAGTATTAAAGAAAGCAGAGGTGTTGACTGAATGATGTATCGATCTTTTACGCGGAAATGTCGGAGAAAAACCCTAAAGTCCACCCTGTAAGAATCAAGCAGCTTCTGCCGTTGACACTCGAAGAGGTCACGTAATAGTTGATGAAGTAGCCTCCTTAAGTTCTTAGTATGTGCTCTGCAAGCGACTGCGGGCTTCAGACTCGGGTGGCGCGAGATTACGAGGAAAGAAGTCTCACCTGTTTAGCCTATATATAAATATATATATATAGGCCTTCATTTCGACACCACTCGCTTTCAACAAGAAGCGTGCCATCGAGCTCATCATTGCTCATCCCACGTCGCTCGGTAATTATGTCAATGTCGAAGTAGATATAGAGCGATGCGGGACGAGCGATGGGCTCCTCATGGAGACGGGTGGCGTCATGGTGAGAGCGGACCTCATCGTCGTCGGAGGTGGCTAGACAACTGCATCGATATCGTTGGCATCGACGTCGTCGTATGCCACTGAACATTAAAATTATCTTTTTATTTTTTATTTTTATATTTCTGTTAGTAAAATTAACATAAATGAATCTATATGTTTTACTTTATGTCAATATAATTTTTTAAAGTATAAGGATCGAGACTCTAAAGATAACCGAAATGCACATACGTTTGCCTGGGGAAAATTTTGTTTAGGAAATTTTATAACTAGGCCTCATTGCCCTTTAATTTTAGTTTTGTAGCCTCTGGCTAAATAGATATATTTTTTTTTGTTAAAAGAAAAAAAAAAGAAAAAAAAAAGGATGCTGTTCTATCAAACATGCAAACTCTGGAGAAGATAAAGCAGCATTCCAACTAACTGAAAAGTGGCCAAGGAAATGCAAGAAGACCATCCTTCTACTATTATGACAAAATCTACATGACTTATCTCATGGCAGAACAGTATATAAGACAATTTAGGTGGCAGTCTACTTCAATTCATTTTACAGCATGTGTCTTTTCTATCATACAGCAATGGCCATCATAAAAAGCTATACGGAGGGAGACTTGGCAGATCTTAATGCAAAAGAAAGAAATCGCAATGCAAAATTGTGAGACTTTCCCTTTGTGTTTTTTTTCCATCTAAATAATGAATGAGCTGATCAGCCAAAATGTTTACAATCAACAACGTGATCAATGATAAAAGAACTTCTGCAGGCAAACTTTTTATTGAAGACCCAACAAACATACATATCAAGAATGCCACATGAATGATCTCACAATGAATATTTTGGCAATATACAACTTTTTATTTCTCAAGTAGTTTCAGCTCCACTACCAGCACAATCATACTATCCTTGGACATACCTTGGAGCTGACATGCCAGTCCCTAGAATTTTAGATTGTCAGATTTGGTCTTGAGACTTGAAGCATGTCCTAAGACCAGCGTTCCCCGCAATCTGAACTGGTCTCATATTTAAGTGCAGCTCCATGCTCACTAATGCTTCCTGTCGATAACATTCTCAGTCTTTGCCAAAACTGCCTGCTGGTTGTAATCAGAGGACCTGAGCTTGAGTGCCTTTGAAACGAACCAGATTCATCTATATCAAGTCTTGTAGATGTACTTGATAGACATGAACCCAATAGAACTCTCTCAGCTTCGAGACCTGACACGTTACTCAATCTAGCTGCTGTGTCTCGAGTAGATAAATCATCATGGCTGCAGCTTCCTGTTCCTTTGTTCTCGTCGCACTCATTGCATACTAATTTTAAGGCCTGGACTACCTCCCCCATAAATGGACGGTGAGAGACTTCTGGCTGAACACACATTGACGCAATGGCTGCAACTTTTGCCACACTTTCAAATGGTACATTCATGCCAAGAGCTGGATCGGTGATCATCTCCACATTATCCATATTATTAAGAAGAGGGCGAGCCCATGTGACCAGATTTTCCTGACCAGGGGGTTGTAGCATGTCGATCGGTTTCCTACCAGTAAGCAGCTCAAGAAGCACAACTCCATAGCTATAGACATCACTCTTGACAAGAAGGTGGCCTGTCATTGCGTATTCTGGGGCAACATAACTAAGAAAAAGCAGGAACATCGGATGGTTTTAATAACTACTACTTCTATGATGGGCAATTTAACGAACTGCTAAAGTGGAAGGATGACCATTTAGAACTTCTTACCCAAAAGTTCCCATGACTCGTGTTGAGATGTGCAAATTCTGCTCATCCAAAGCAGCTCGAGCTAGGCCAAAATCAGACACTTTGGGAGTGTAATCATGATCCAATAAGATGTTGCTGGACTTGAAATCTCGATGTATCACCCGAGGGCTTGAATCTTCATGTAAATAGGCAAGGGCTCGAGCTGCACCAAGTGCAATCTTCAAGCGAGCACTCCAGTCAAGTGGAGAAGTTTCCTTGTCCAATCCTGGTCAGCGAATGAAACAAATGATACAATTTGAATCTGGAGATAAATTTCTATTCTAGAACAAACACAGCATGCAATGGGAAACTAAGCATATGCATCCATTTATAGGGTATTCTAAAATTAAAGGAATTTTATAGAGACCAGGTTGGGTTTCAAAATCCAGTTACAATGGTCCCACCACGGAACGATTATATAGCTCAGTACCAATCCATTTTTTATAATTATTATTTTCAGTGATCTTCATGATCAGTATCATAAAGGTCCAACAATATCTTGGAACTGGTATGGCACCAAGATTTAAATAATCAAGAATAAAAGTAACCATGTGTCATAGTATATTAATTACCCAATAAAAAAAGAAAACATTAGAATTTGCACAAGCAGAAGCATTGCTTAAATTAAGTAATTCTAAACCTCTTTTTGCTTACCATGCAAGTGTGATTCCAAACTCCCATTTGGAATTAGTTCATAAACCAGGCATCTTATGTGCTCCTCTGTGCATATACCAATCAACTTGACTAAGTTCCTGTGGTGCAAACGGCTAAGCATCTCGACCTCTGCATAGAATTCCCGTCCACCCTGCTGGTCATCTCTCTTAAGAATCTTTACGGCAACCCTTGTTCCATCTTCAAGCGTACCTTGGTAGACTCTCCCAAAACCACCTTCTCCAATAATTCTAGCTTCATCAAATCTGTTTGTAGCTCTTTCAATTTCAGATACAGAAAATGTCTTTGCTGATCCACTATATGTTGCGATGCTAGAGTTGAAGGAAGCTGATTCTGAACTAAGCCTTTGTCCTAATATCATGTGTCTTGTCCCTGCATTTTTACATAAAGTTTAACAGAAAAAGAAAAAATAAATAAAAAATGAAAGTCAACTTATGGATCTTGTAAGTTGCAATTGAGAAGCAACTTTTCATGTAAATCCTTTACCAATCCTACACATTCCCTCCTGCTTTACCACACAAGAAATGCAGGACTTTGGGAGTTCAGATGAGTTGGTAACAAATTCACATATATTGAAATCGTCTTGCAGCTGACACTAATAAAATGTAAAAAAAAGGAAGGACAATGTCCATTTCAAGTACACCATCACCTAAAAGGTTCGTTGCCTTTCTTACGTATCAAATATGCTTCCAATGTATTGAAGTCCTCACACTAGAAAATGTAAAAAAATAAAGAAAAAAAGTTGCTTTCTGTTTCAATAGAAAATTTAAGCTACAAGGATCTTTGCTTTTCTTATGTGTCAAATACATCTGGCAAAACAAAATACAAATTATCAACCCCATAAGAACGTACCTGATGATTTTGCAAATAGTGGCAACATTTTATGCAGATTTGTCGCAGGCAGATGACTGTGGTCTCTTTGTTTCAACCACAGGAACCATGCTGCCCCCACACATAAGATCAACGCTGAAAAAGATGATAAAATAATTACAGCAATTAAGTTCCGATTGGTCTTCACCTTTTGTTTTCTCACATCAACCCCAAGAGGCTTTATTGCCATTGCATTACTATTATTGCCAAATGAACCAACGTTGCTCCCTCCAGGTGCTCTAGGTGGAGATGGAGGAAGCCCTGCATAGAATAGCAGTCAGGAAATATCCATGGTAACAGGACTTGCGACAAACTGTAGAACCTTAAAATTATCTTCTTATATATAATTTTCATATACATTAAGAATGACTTATTCACATTCCAAGTCCCTAACTTACTCAAAAGCTCATGTTGGATCATCAAACAACTCCTAATCTTCCTTTATGAAATTTCTGGCAGTCCATTAGTTAGGACATATACACCAATTAGTCCCACATCAGAAGCAGATGTTAGGCTGGTTTCTGATGTGGTCACTTTCCAGTTGTCTTTCCTATTAAGATGGATAAGCGGTGTAGGCCTATTCTATATCCAAAGCACCATGTCAAATATCCATGCATCTTGGAGTTTGACCTTTCAATGCCAAAATAGTTCGGGGTCAGAGTATCAATTGGAATTTTTAGTTTGCGAAAGGATGATGACCCTACAATTCAAGAAGGAACACAAGGAATGGGATCGACAGGTCCTCCTACACTCATTAAAATTCGCATGAGAAAGAACTTAGGGAGGTCTGAACAGGGAACTGGGTTCATTAATTGAGGTGTGTTCTCATCTCTATAGCCAAGCACAAATGGACTGCCATTTCTAGAGGAGAGATTGGTACATAGTATGGGTTAGAGGCTTCAAATGACTACAGTAAAAGATATGATGGCACCATGCATGGCCTGACACTTGGCACCAAAATTGGCTTGTGAGTGTGGATTGAGCTATGTGATCAACAAGAGCTGCCAGTCATTGAAGTCGAACTATCTATCATTAATGCAGGTGACCATGCTATTATCATGACTTTTTATGTCTACAGCTAATAACTTGGGATATGGATTTTGTTCAGGTGGTTCTAGGAGTGTTTTATCAATACCTGGTGCAAGTACCTTCTCGAGATTAGTTGTGATATGGGTTTCAAATTAACTATAGGCTTGTCATATGGATTACCTCATACATACCAAGATGGGGGCACTTGGATTAGACTTTACCAAACCCCTAAAGGTGGATTCTAGGTTATCCGGTGAACCCTTGACAAATATGTCAAGTCTTTGAGTGGGAAAGGTTGTGATACAATTATTCTTATAACAAGAATAGAAGTTGGTTTGATATGATATCTGACACTAAAGGAGTCTACTACTAAAAATTTGGAACTAAGCATTTTGTATCATGTTGTTTCAGGCTTATCAAATCCAAGTTATTGAGTCAGCAGACCCATTAGTTCGAGTTGTCATAAATGATATCAAGTAACATTCATAGACATCTAAATAGCAAGTACAAATTTCTTGGAAGTTTATGCCCATAGCAACCAACATAAAGTATTGAAATCATAATCACATTTAAGAACAACTAATAGCTAAAGTTGGACGAATTGTTGTCTATGTATCTTCCAATAGCATTATAGGTATTAGCAACTAAAGAGAATGAAGAGTATGCAAACCTGGATAAAGAACATATAGAACTGTATAGTCACCAAAAAGTGATGTGTTTATGACAATATCCTTATGCCAGAACTTCTCAAATGATAAAAATGCAGTAGCAGTATCAAACTTTTCTTCAACGGGCACCAGATCAATAAGTACGATTGTGTTCTCAGGCTGGTCACTGGCAACATTTGCTCCCATAATGCGCACTTGACTTTGTTTCATATAGATCCCAAAGGCAATTTCTTGGGCAAACTCAGGGACCAAAGGAAAGAATGTATACAGTGTGGTGCTTAGACGAAGTCCAACTCGAATTGGCAATACACAGACACATGGTGATCCTGGAGGTGGAATTGTTAAAGGCTCTACACACACCAATGACATACAATCTGCACAAAGAAAGTAAGTTAACATTTATATTAAAGTTCTTAGATCAAAAGAATCTTGCAAACCTCATTAAGCCTTTAATTCAACAATTACGTACAAACATAAAAACGACCAGAATTGGCTGACAAATGTGCACAGGATGTCTATACCCAAGTTAGGAGGTGGAGGTGGCAGCACCCAGATAGGCGGTGGTGGCGCTGCACTTGAGGCCCTAGGATGAGAGCTAGAAGGAGTCGTTATAGGCGAATGACCTAACCCTGTAGACACAAACACAATAAACATAAAAGAAAAAAAAAGATATTTCAAGCAATTCAACAATATTTAAAAAAGAAGGATGAAATATACACGCATTCGAGTCCGAAGATACTGATGATGATGGTGAAGGAGATGGGGCTTGGATTGAAGAAAAAGAGGGGCCTGCAACAGAGGAAAAAGATAAAAAACAAAAGAAGTGTATAAGTTAAGACCCTCTGCATTCATCTTCTCTCGCCATGCTTTTGTATGCGTTGGTACCTTGATGAGAGGGTCGATAAGCATGATGTGGTTGGCTATTCTTAGGGAAGGCCTCAGGAGCTTCAGTAACCATAGGATCTTCAAATAAAAGCAGAATGAGAGAACAAAAACCAGTGAAAGCTTACAAACACATTTCTCCTTGCTTTTTGTATGTGTTGGTACCTTCATGAGAGGGTGGAGAAGCATGATGCGGTCTGCGATACTTAGGGAAGGCTTCAGGAGTTGGAGTGACCATAGGAGCTTCAAATAAAGCCAAAACAAGAAAAAGCAAAATTATTGGAAGTTTACAAACAAGTCTATCAAAACTTACTTAATTTGTCAATGGTAGTAATATCCACCTGGAAGATGTGATGGTGACCAAAATGGAGATGTTGGTGAAGAGGCCGAGTTTCCCACTCCTTTTCTAGGTCTCCACTGTTGTACTGGATTTAGAGGCGAAACAGCAGGCCCATCAGATGTACTCATTGCTGGAGGTTGAAGATGTGATGTTGATGGACCATGAGCTAAATTTGAGGGCTTAGCTTGATGATGCACAGGGCTTAACATAGGGGAAGAACCTGAAGAGAAGGTCGGTAACAAAATTTATGCTTTTAGATTCATTGTGTAACATACTCCAGAATCCTTAAGAAATTACCTTCTGAGGGTGACCCATTTGCTGGGGTCAAATGCCTATATCCTTCAGCTGGAGGTGAAGCAACTGGCACACCATGTCTTTGTCTGCTGCTGATAGGGGAAGAAATTGATGTTGGTGGTGCCACTGATCCTGCATGTTTCATTTAAAAAGTTGCAATTTCAGACCGTTAAAGAAAACAAAGCATGCTTCGCAAGAGCTCTAGATGAAGCATCCAAAATATGCAATTTGTGCTCACCATGGAAATATGTAGAATGTGGAGCCAATGCAGATTTTGGAGCTATTCTTGGTACAATTGGTGGTTTGTTGGATGAACTGGGCTGCGGGTATCCTGGCGAACCGAAAACTGCTGCATCAAGATAAATGAGATACATTATATACATATCTAAAAATAAGCTGCATTTAAGTAACCCATGAGTGGCATAGTTACATGCTTAGCCATAGACATTCTCCATGGTGGAGCTATGTAAACAAGAAACTTGTAGGAGTATAGTGTGAAATCAGCAAAGAAATAGGCCGTCAATTAGTGACCAAGATGAGCATTACCTGATGAAATAGGAGCAATCGGTTGAGCTTCTACGGATGGAGATACAGCTCTTGGCCATTTATGTCCTGTGGCGACAAGAGTAGATGGAGCGGGCGACAGCATAGATGGAATTACCGGTTGGAAGCTAGGTGGCACAGCTCCATATGTAGGTGAAGAGACTATCAAGAATGAGAAACAGATACTGAAGCGTTAAACCTGATATCCTATCAAGAGGAAGAGGTTTTGTGAAACAAATCATGATTACCTTCAGGGAAAGAATCTGATGTTGGTGCAATTGCACTCCCTGAATTTGTAAGATGCGCAGGACTGCTTGCCATCCCTTTCTGTGAAGGATAGTCAAATGCAGCTGGTGAAGGAGCCATACCGAGCCCTACAAGAAAAATCACAAGCAAGCAACTTAAGTTTGATCACAGATCAGAAATCTTGTACAGCTCTTGCAATGTATTTATCAGAACTGAACTAGCAAAGTTCAACACTAAATTTTCATGCAACCAATTGCAAATGAAAATGTTACAGTTAGCAGTATTCTTGAGGATGCATAGGCTGCATTAACCGTACTGGCTCGTCTCGGATGATGTCTTTGCAGCCACTGAAGGTGGGAAATTAAAGTAACATGACGAAAATAAATTGATAATACCCTATACGGCAAAGTGCTAACTAATAGATAAAATTGCTAACACGAAACTCATTCATGCTAACTTGGGTATATCAAACAAGGTTAAGGAAAATATGTATCAAAGTCGAAACTGCACTTTCCACAGTCAAGTGATGCGACAACAGCTGATGTTAATAAGGCACGCTAAGGCTGATCAGAGCATTGTCGATCAACCAAAAGCTTATTACATGAAGTGCCTTAAAATAGTTTTAAGAGGACTATGCGGGACAAAATATTAATACAGTTCTACTATAGCTCGATGAAAGTGGCTAGAAATATTGATCTGTAATTTTCCAATTGCAACATTTTTTTTTGTCTAATTTATACTTGTCTTTGTCACTCAAAGACTAGTAAGTTTGAAAAAACATGAAGAGCTTACAGCTACATTGTTACTAAATTGGTTTAAACATTTTTTTCGGTAGAACATGAACCCAGACCTAAATGCCACCCTCAGCTGTCAGTGTGAATTATAATAGAAGAAAAAGGGTGCTTTGAATGTGCAAATCCTGAGCAAGTTGAGCACAACATTGGTTATCGGCACACATCGTCTCCTAATACCACACTATTTCTTGTTGCAAGATAACTGTTCAACCAAAGGATAAAATACAAATAGTTCTCTGCGATCAGAAGCTTAGTACGCTCTTGGTCATCAACGGCATGACAATACATTGCTACAACAAAATGCTAATGAACCCTAATAAAAGCAAAATTCATCGACCAAATGCCAAAAGGAATTAATCGGATTAACGAACAAGTGCTAAATCACAAAAGTGATTAGGACTCAGCATTCATAATCAAAACTAGTTTTAGGAGCACAATAGCTATCATCGAGCAAAAGATCTCTTATTTTGCTTATTTACATCCATACAAGTAAAGCAAACAAATGGGTGTTCATCTCCTCCTCGCGGACTAACCAGCTGACAGGAAGATAAACAGAACGTTTCCACACGCAATGTGTTACCTTCAAGTCGACAAATCACGGAAGCAAATACCACAACGAAAATAATCCAGGGACGAGAAAGCTCGCATCGCCAACCCATCCTGCTGCTTCTCACCGACAGAACAAAGCTAAAGATCTAATGGCCTTCACACGCCACCACAGTCTCTTCTTCTATTGAAGCAAAGCCCTGCCCATCAAAGAGGAGGCATCCGAAGAACCAAGGAATCCTCAAGGCAATGGAACAGAATGGCCCATCTGGAACGGGAGATGGGCGGTGGCATGTTGGGTGAACAGAAGCTTATAGCCAAAAGCACCAATCCAGAGTAGGTAGAGAGGAAGAAAAAGGCGGAGGGAGCTCAACGAAGGAACCTTGTAGGAGTGCTTTTCCTGTCAAAGAAAAGAAACTGTAACCAAGAAGGAAGGTGAAAAGGAAAAGGAAAAACAAAGATACCGATGAAAAAGACATACAGAATGACAGTGCTCAATGCCTTGATGATATGAAAAAGGGTTGGGTTCTTTGTGGGGAAGGAAGAGATCGGATCAGAGATGGGTAGAAAAAGTGATAGTGAAGGAACGGCCATGTGATCTATCCAAAATTATACTCGGTGCCAGGACTGACTCTTGTTTCAGATCCTTTGTTGGCATGTCTGATGCTAAGCGTCACAGGGAGTGCAAGATGTACGAGTTTAGGGAATGTTGTGAAGGGAGTGCAAGAACCAACCCGTGTTTCAGATCCTTTGGACATGTATAGGGGTAGAGTGACAGGGATAGCTGAGGATCTATCTATTGTCTTTGGGGAGGATCTTTCTTTAGGAGTGTCTATATATGTATATTATACATATATATATATATATATATATATATATATATATACATACATATGTATATATACATATGTATGTATATATATAAATATATGGATAGTTTTCTTTAGGATCTTTCTTTGGGGAGGATCTATATATATAATGAAAGCTAGTTTGTATATTTTTCAAATCATGAATACTGTTTGAGAATAAATAAAAGAGGTACTGATTTGGAAATACCCAAAGAAATCGCCCTATATAAATTTTATTTAGGAGGTTTTATTTGAGATCTTTTTTTCTTTCAAAATGACAAAAGTAACTCTTGACAACTATCTTTGATCTTTTTTTCTTTCTCTTCAAACTTATTTAATTGAATCGGTTGAACCAACTCAAAGCTCGGACTAAAAATAATAATAATAATTTAAAATGAATAATCTTGTCTTTTAGACTACCTTATTTCTGGTAGGGATCATGTGATTTCATGCAGCGTGACAGAATCTATCTATGATGTAAGGGATTGTTTTGTATGTAGTGCGAGGACTCACCCGGGTCTCAGATTCTTTGTCGGCTCAGCGTCACAGGGACAAGAAGAAGAGGGCAGTCGCGTTGATGGCTCAAAACTGGGGATCGGATTGTGAATCTTGTCCTGTTCGTCACATACAAACACTGTTCATTTCCTTCGCCGTTTGTATGGCTGGTAGCATACCAATTCAAGAAGAATTTGCAACGACACTCACCGCCATTGTTTGTTTATGTTGTGATCGAAGACTTGAGCCGGAGGTCACTTGGTGGTGTGCAATGTTGGGACTTGGAAGGGAGGCTATCTATCTTATTGAATGGTTGGAATAGCAACCATCAATTTTCATTACGAGAATTATTGGTCATGTATCACATCATGAGCTGACAGAGCATTGTATTAACGTATAAGATTTTACAATGTATTATCCGAGGTTTAATTATTTGAAAGATGAGCAATTCAAGTAGAAAAAAGACATCATATGTTAAGCCAACTGAAAGACCAATGACGGGCATTTGTTTCATCAGAAAAGAAGAGCAAGAACGAGAGATAGAAAGAGAGAGAGAGAAGATGTGGGCAAGACCAAAAGGAATCCAACCTGCCAAAGATTGTAGCAGGCAGTTGTCCTTGACGAAAGCTGGTCCCCGTTCGATTGGGGACAGAGCAATAAAGCAACAAAGGCACAAAAGCGCAGCTACAGAGACAAAAAATCTCTGGGATCTTGATCCAGATGAGACCGTAGTGGGAAAGTACTCTGTCTTCCTGTCGCTGCTACCAATCATGGAATACAAGTTACTTGCCTACTACTCTCAGTGCTTCGGGCAAATGTTCGGACATAACTAATGAGAACCGCCTTATCCATGGAATTGGTGTGAGGAGAGGGAGCTCTGCTTCACCACTCCACTCTTACCGAAACGACATTACGTAATGCTTATGCTTAGATACAAGAGAGCATCACTGCATACTGCTTTGGATCTTGACACTACTTTGCTGTTTGTTCCATTTGATCCTGTGAGTACTTCTCGAAAGAAAGAGTAGCATGTAGGAGCTGTATGATCGCAAGAATTCCAGCTTTTCTATTGCTGTAGTGCCGAAGGAAACGGGTAAAGACGGCCGGCCCCCCCTTGCATGTGGCGTAGGTCTGCTCTCATGTACTGCTTCCATTTTGCTATCGAGCTTTTGCTTCGGCGTGGAAATCGGCGTAGGTCCGCTCTCATGTACTACTTCCATTTTGCCATCGAGCTTTTGCTTCGGCGTGGAGATTAAGAGACCAAGTTCTCAGGTAACCAACCAAATCAACCGTTCGTTTCGGCGACAATGCTACCGCCACACTATTTGTGTCACCATCGGCTGAGCTACCATTTCTCCGTGTTTCGCTGCTGTACAACAGCATCACGGTGAGCTTCCTCGGCCAGTAGTAAAAGCCCGCTGCATGTCACCGGCGAACGGAGTCGCGGGCAACAACCGGACCGCATAAAGGGTTGCTTCGTTCTGATCGACCTGGCAGCCACGTGAAACTGTTCTCTTTGGCTCATCATCTCATTTCACTGGAACAAATTAATTGCTGATGTGAAAGGACGAGGCACGCAGGCTGTAAAGAACAAGGATAACATGGTGATGCCTCCTGATTAATATTCCATTTCGCTCGCATCATCTTCTTCTCCTTTTTTGTTTCTGGGGCAGACTTCTGATACCGACACAAGAATGAACTTATATCACGGATCGATCGTGCAGTGATAAACCATTGCACAAATTCTGATGACGGCCCAAACGACACAACCGGAAAAATAATGCGATGCATACATCCAAATCCGTTCCAGTATTGGATCCCAAATTTTAATTATACATTAAATCAATTTTATCACAATAAAATCTGATCACTGGTGACCTGATGACGAGCTCCTCCACACACACACACACACATTTTATTGAAAGTATATTAACGTATCAGATTTATCAGGCTCCTGCTACAGATCCAACAATATATTCCAGTCCTGTATGCTGTGGCATACAGATTGAAGAATCCATCACTTTAGATCTAAACCATTGAAGGTTTAGACAACTTACGAATTAACACACAAATCAGCCCCTTCATGAACCATACCAAAATAATTTTGATGCAGTCCTGGCTAGAAGATGACCGATCAAGGTTGTCGGAATTTGAACCAATGCACCGAAGAGAATTAGCAGCATCTCAACAAGTCAATCTGTTTATACATGGGCTTCCATCATTTCTTGATCTGTTATGATGTTAATAGTTGAAACTGCATAAACCTCTACAATGTAGCCTACTGTTCCGAACAAAACCTTAAATCTCCTCCCCAAGCCAACTCAAGTTTTTGGAAGCAAAATTTCTAGTGACAACTCTTATGAATGATCAAGTTACATGTTTTTCCTAATCCCCAATGGGTGCATCTTCAATGGTTTTCTCTGCAAAAAATGAGGTATCGAGAGCAAGACTTGTTCTCCGCAACATATTTAACCAAAAGATCTTCATGCTATTGACACATTTGATTGTGCAGTATGGCCAACCACTAGGTTGACTTCAAACTGGAAATCTTCAACTGGAGGAGCGGTGCTTCTTCGTCGACCACAAATGAATCTGAAGCAGCAACACCAGCATCACTCCCTATGTTTCTGGTGTTTGTACTACTGTCACTATAAAAATCTGACTTCTTCTCCAGCTTCCACTCCTGTAGATAATTAAATCCCACAATTCAAGATATCAAAACATGTACATGCATGTGGAAAATTTTAATGATGGTACAAAGTTAACATTGATATCGAACTTGTGTCTTGATCAGCCAGATGCACATTGATATCGAACTTGTCAAACAAGGACTTTTATGGTCAATATTCCAACAAGACCAAATACACATTTCCATGAACTATGAACAAATGTAAATGGCACACAAAATTTAGTAACAGGTAATCTTGTGGCTGAGGTGCTCCTGAATTTTAGATAACCAGTACAAAAGCTTCAAGTACAAAAGTCAAGGTTCATATGTTCTATCTCTTCAAACAAATATTATCCAGCTATTAAGGTTTTGAGGTTATTAATATTCGTTTATTAATATGCAATGAACTTTTCCGACCTAAATTTTAAAAATAGCAGAACTGCCAAACTACGGCTAAAAACTAAAATGAGTTTTGAAACCTTGCTGAAGCTTGAAATAAAAGTTATATATGCATGCCAAATTATGACAACAATGGAACTTAGACCAACAAGTGGCTATTCCTAATGAAGCAATCCTAGAGGGAGCACAAGAAGTTGTTAATACAAAAGACAGATAACATGTTCACTCTTATGGTAGCTTAAATGCTGTGCTCTAGTATTTAACCTTTGAGGCCCTTTCAGCGATGCTCTCCATTGGTAGTTGATTTGCTGTTCTGACATCCTTGACCTTCAAATAGTTGTACATGACAACACCACAAAGAGCTGCACAGAAGCATGATTAAGAAATAGAAAAACTAACAGATTAAGATACATAAGAACTAGGGAACAGGATCTTAAACAAAAGAGTTTACCAATGGCATAGCCAATTATATTAAGACCAGTTATTGTTGATTCAGGGAATACAATTGTGGAAAGGGCTATCAATATCCAATCTTTCAGAACTCCAGCAACCCGTATGGTCACTGCCCCAGTTCTACCAATTACTAGAAATATGGAGAAGTTCAGCGCTAATGCACAGAGAGCATTTGAGAAAAATATCCAGAAATTAAACCGAATCTGTGATATTTCCATCCCTGGCTTCTCCAACACATACCAAGGTATAAAGAGAAACAGAAAACTGCAAATGGAGTATATACAAGTGTAAGAATTTTTATACAAATATATATTATTTGAGATACAGAAATGTCAGAAAAACAGAAAATAAAATGCAAAACTAAAGTTAGGAATTTTCATTGATACAAAATCCAAATTTATGTAAATTTACAGTAGCATCGCAAACATAATGGAGAATTATAGTTTCACAACCAATAACTTGTTAGAGTGATATCCAATACAGTTCACTAAAGAACATGGGCTAGAAAACAGAAAAGCACATGAAAGCATTATATCACGACTAAAAATGTGTTGTTCCTGATAAGAGAGAAAGAGAACGAGAAGGAAAATTGATTGGTTGGTCAAAGTAGTAGCAAAGAAGTCAGCAAGGTTAGTATGTGAAGCACAGATGCAACAGTATTAAAGACCCAAAGAGATGGTGAAATTTAGACAGAACTCTGTAGCGTTTCAAATTTGTAATGGTATTTAGTCTTATTTCAGACAAACAATCACAAAACTAATTGATCTTTTTTCAACATAAGAGCTCCCATGTAGTTTTTAGCGCACAGATAACATAATCCTGTTCAACAATGGAACATAAGTTGAATATTTAATTGGCTTTTTGTTCGACTGTTTTTGTCCATCACCTGACCAAGAATAACATTTTAAATGGACAGAGTGAACACAGCATTTGAACTCTCACCTGACTTATATAACCAAAAGAACCATACCTTCAATCCTGTCTGTTAAATCATAAAAGCATCATTATGAAAAACAAATATTTGATTATGCTGATTAATGTTTCATCGTTCCAAACATTATGAATCTCCTTCATAAACAAGAGCACGTTCATTTCTGCTTTGCTAACCTTATTCTAGATCTGACTTGTACCTTAACTGGCAATTGCAGTGGCTCACCACCAAACATACCATCAACAGAAGGATCCAACTTGCATAATAAATTGGACAACATCTACAGGTGCAAGGTCCAAAACCTCAGTCCATACCAATACCAATTGGCAGCCAGACTGGTATAGTTCTTGTATGATCCAGTGAGCTGATTCTCAATAGAGGTTGGTACTGCTTGGACCAAGAGAGAGAGAGAGAAGAAAAGAAAAGTAGAAAGAAGAAAGAAGACCAACGGAGAGCAAGCAGAAGGTGGAGTGGAGGAAGAGATGGCAGAGTAGGTTGAGGAGGAAGTTAAAACAGACGAGGATGGGGAGGAGGAGGAGGCTGATGAGGTGGAGCAGGAGGAGGCGGAGGCATTCTTCAGGCAAAAGAGCAACTCTTACTAAAGAACATAACAGTAAGCATTCTGCAGGTGGAAGACTAAACAGCAACCCTTAATAAAGAAGGCAACAGTAGCAAGACAGCCGGATGAAGTGACAACAATGAGGCGACGGGGAGGATGAAGAGCTAGAAGAGGTGGGAGAGAGAGATGCATGTAAGAGAGAAAGAAAGGAGAGAGAGAGAGAGAGAGAGAGAGAGAGAGCACAAGAAGAAAAAAATTAAAAGAATGACAACTGTCAAGCTATTATAAAAATTAGAAATAACAATACATTAGTGGGAAATAGACTTATTATCTGGTACCCTTTCTTTTAACTGGTGAAATTGGCAGCACATCTGGTGAAGTAACCATACCAGGTGGCAAGCCTGGTATGAACATAAACATGCAGAAACTGATGGTCACTGCCCATTGTGAATCCTAAACAAGCAAAAACTGGTGGTATGTTTATCAATTCACATTCAGACTGGTAAATACCAGTTGTACCATATGTTTTAGAGCAGTACAACCAGGTTTTTGAACCTTGGTCAGGAGCCCCTTCAACTAATCCATGTCTTTCTAATATCTTGTATATATCAAGAAAATCCGCATCGAAATGTTTTGCAGAAGGTGAAACATCCCAATATTAATTACTAACGCAATCAAATATGAGATGTATCTTCAACCAAAGTTCGCCGTGCCACAGCATACCGCTCAATACGAGCGATATGTACCAATCCAACAGGAGGTTAGTATGGGTGATATATACCAATCTGTCGGTACACCCCACTATATTGTGTCTTGGTATATCGGTATATACCATACCAATAGTTGAACGGTACATCGGTACTAACCGATAAGGCGAACCATGTCTTCAACTATGTAATTATTATATGCACATGTAGATTGCAGCGAAAAGATATTAGCCATAAAAAACATCCAAACAAATATCTGAATGATGGAAATAAAAATAAATCTTGATTATCTAAAAGAAGAATAATTTAATTTGTCGTTTTATTTATAGCAAATCAATGGCTGCCAAGACTATTGAAACTTATGACCACCAATGCTTCAAAATAAGACAACTGCAGCCATGCATATGGTTCAAGTTATCTAAACATGGCATGGCAGTTGTTAAACACATACAATTTCTGTCAAAACGTTAAAGGCTTCTAAGCATTTCAAGTGAATGTACAAATTTATATAAGTCCATAAATTACCTGCAGGGTGCTATGTAATATAGACTGGTAACAGGATTCAGTGTCAAGCCTTTTTTCTGGAGAAGGACCTGAGTTAAAACCAGTCTTAAAGCTTCTGCAAATATACCAGTAACTTGGAAAGCTGTTCCAATTACATTAAAATGAATCTCTCCATAGGATGAAATTGCGACCCCGACACTGACTAGCACCATGTTCAAGAAAACATCACACCTCAATTTGTCAGTGCCACAGATAACAGCCATCAGAAATGTTGCAACAGGCACTGCAAAATTACATGTTCAAGAATGGTAAGCCTTTTGGTTGAGTAAACATTATTCTAAAAAGGATATAGGGCAACTCACTTAAGGCCTTTAGCATCTGAATGAAAGCAACTGAAATATGCAAATAAGCGGTGTTGCCAAACCTGCCATAAAAAGAAGACTTTTGTTAATGGTACTAAAAATAAAAAAGAATTTCCGTCCACAAATTGGTGATAAATTATAAGATTGATGATCAAAAGAAAATTGAAAATGGAAACAGTATGAAAATGCACCAGTACATGAAAAAATAGTGCTAACACCATTTTTTATGAGGTGCTTGATGACAAAGTGCTAGTTTATTTACAAATAAAAGTGTGGCTAGCATAAGCTGGAAATTTTAAAAAATTAAATTATTCATGAAACCAAAATACAGAATAAAATATTCACAAAAAATAATCTTCCAGAATAACTTCTTTTCCAACCCAAAAGAACAAGTAACAAACCTGAAACAAGTCTGAACTTCATGAAACAAATAGGAAAATTCAAATATCCATGTCTATCCACATAGACATCGTAACCACTAATATCAATCAATATGTCAATGGAATCAGTAACAAACAATATATATGAAGTTCTTTGTGCACATACAATTGAATTCAACTAATATAGCACATTGATGTTCTTACTGAAAGCAAATGATCATTAATGCATTTAATAAAAGAAATTAGGAACATGGGCCTTCGGAGATTTTAAACTTCATAGATGTAGGATTTATACATTCAACTTAATAGATATAGGATTTATACATTCTTGTCTACTTAGTATCTATCTGAATGTTGTATAAGTAATAAATGTCAGAATCTAAAGAACAAAACACCTTATTGATTATCTTGCTCACTGTAATTTGTTGAAATATAGAAGACTAATCTTAAAGCAAATCATCATTTTTAAAAATCTTGACAAAAGGTAGCAGGTGACATGATAACTAAACATACTTACCAGAGACTTGATGCAAAGAATGCACTAATAGGAATCACACAAGTTGCATATCTGCAAAGGATCAAACTAAACATTAAAGCAGGCATTAAACATGGAAAATTAGATAAGTCTGCATCCTTACATCTGAAAAGTCATCTTAACAGGTGCAACAACCTGCCATTCCAACAAGTAAATTCGAGTGAATTAACTTGTTATGCAAAAGACGTTATATTCAATTGAAAGATAAAGAGTATAGTAAAGAGACAAGGATTGATTAATAAAAACAATCACAAAGATTTCTATCTGGCAAGAAGAATAATCATATTCAACATGCAAAGGCATGAAGCAGAGTTGGAAGAGAAAATCCTTTTAAGAGTTAGATAATTTTCATGAATTCAAATGCTCAATGGTTATGAATCCATGTAACCATTCACCAGCCAAATATTAGACAATTTTTTTTTTCCCTTTTGTGTGCATAACCAAAATTTCACCTATTGATAACTTAGAAAGTAAGTGCATCAACATCTTAGGCAGAATATATATCACATTATACACCTCATGATTACAAACAATTATCCCCTCAGTTGTTTTTCAACGCATTACATGCCCCTAGTTAGTTGATCATATATTACAAGTCACTATTGACCTACATAATAAGCATCCAGAATATACACTCTCAACCATGATTCACCTTACCGATTCATACCGGTGTACTAATCGGCTGTCGATACAGTACATAACAATGTACCGACACATGATATGATGGGATGTACCGACAGACTGGTATGTACCACCAACACCGATCCCCTATTGCACCAGTACATATCACCCGTATCGAGCAGCACAACATAGTACGGTGAACCTTGCTCTCAAGTCTCAACCACTAGTTAGTTGAAGAAATATTAGACATTATAAATTTTTGTTTTTTTTCCTTTTCTTTTGTGCATAACCAAATTTTCACCAATTGATAACTTTGAAAGTGCATCAACATCTTAAGTAAAATATTGTAGCCTGAAAAAATATATCACGTTATACACCTCATGATTACAAACAATTTTCCCCTCAGTTGTTTTCCAACACATTATGTGCCCCTAGTTAGTTGATCATATATTACAAGCCACCATTAACCTACATGTTAAGTGTCCAGAACACACTCAGCCTCTTTACTAATCCTTCAATTTTTAGCCTCTATACTTTAGATATAATTTTGCTATTTCAGACAGACTAATGGCAGATAGCAGCCATAAGGTTCTGATGCAATTCACCAGAGGTTTCTCGTGAACACAAGAGAAGGAATATCAGGAATTTTCAGATAACTAGTGAAACTGCACTGTTGGAGATGATAGCTCATTACGGCCCGTTCAGCTCTTAAGGTCATCAATAAAGTTTTAAGCTAGCCTTTTCAATTTTCTAAGCTAGTCATGACAGACAAGCATTGAACTCCAATTAGCATAGATATAAAAACACAATCAAGCATAAGGAGTCAAATCCATGAACTTTCAACAAGAAAAATATTGATGACAGAGGTAGCAAAACTAATGTAGAATAATACAGCATTTTTTTTAGTCACAGCATAAAAAGAACTAAAATAGAAAGAAAGAAATATAAGCAGAAAAAGAATAATTTTCAATGATAAGTTCATACATACCTTAAAAACACGAACAAGAAAAAATGCTACCACACCAGAAAATCCCATGTGAATCATAGTAAGAGTTATGGGGAAAGGAAACTTGAAATACTTCGGAGATAGTACCCACTGCAAAACGTACAAAAAAAAATAAGAAAGTGTGTTTTACACATGTTCACTCCGATGTACATGCTACTTTGTAGTAATGAATGTGCAAATTAGCAAATAAATTGGTCATTGTCTCTATTATATGAAGCAAAAATGAGTTGGGCAGAATATGAAAACTCTACCAGCTATTATAAGATATGCCTATTATTCACAAATAATATATAGACAGCACTAGAGACATGGTTCTGCATAGTCATCATATTTGTTCCAAATAACGTAGAAAGGTGAAACCTGAATGGTGAGAATTTTCATCACTTGAAACCTTTTTTTTACATTTAAAGAAAAATGTATAGCAGCCCTTTTCAATGATCAGCTTTACCAGCTTTCATGCATAAACTGATATAAATGGATGAGAATTTTTATACAAGATGATGACTTCGACTGCAGAGATTTCTAATATGGTTGGCATTTAATGAAAGCTGGAGCCCACTTGGGCAAACTTAGAATAATTACTTAGTAAGATTTTCTTTACATTTGTGACTCTCGTCATCATTCACAGTACCATGCGACTTCTTTTTTATCTTTTTTGTGGATCGGCTAGTGCAAGTGTCCAACATCAGACTGCAATTTTTGATCCAAGAATGCAATTCCAATGAAGTCACATTCCTTAAAACCATGATCACAAATGATCAGAAACCTGAGCTGCACAAATATCGAACCACAAGCAACACAGGGTTACAGAACACAAATTCCACTGGTGATTAATGACTTTCATGATTAGCAAGTGGTTTGAGTGGCTTAAAATCCATAGAAAGACTCCATGATTAAAATCCATAGATAGACTCCATTATCATGGCTAACAAAGTCTAGATATCAAACATCTATATCTCTTCTGGCTCCAAGTCTAGCTTTTATTACTAATCATCTAAAGTTTTCAAGTATGTGAAGGTGGAATATCTAGTAGTAAGAACACATAGTTATTCTAACTAGTTTGGACTTGAAAAGTTGAAAATTGCTTCCGGAATACATTTCATGACACCAAGATAACTGTAACAACTAAAGAGTTAGTGTATAAAATTCTTGAAAATATTGGACCACAGGTGACAAAAGAAGCTCAAAGGTTAATCAAATTCTAAGCAATAGAGTATCTCCAAAGTTAAAATTATTTTACGTTTTCATTTTAGAAGGAAACCACTGGCAATATGATAACCTGGGTAGATTTTCCATTGTCAAATACTCCGGCCAAGGAATCAATCAGTCTGTCCAAGGACCAGTACAGACCATCTAGGTAGGTAAACCAGTTTCAATTTTTTCTTGTATCATTCAATGACACTAGATGGTATTATGTCCGGTATACCAGTAGTGTATTGATCCAGAATCCAGATGGTTACCAAAACCTATATCAAATTGAGATTTTAGTGTTTGCTTAGAATTTACATATTCAAGGCCCAAAATCCAAACAAGGAATCTTTTTAGTAGGTGGTTATTCTATAAAATATGCTTCGGATAAATCCACACACTTCCATGCACCATCATATGTCAAGTTCAGTATATCGTATTTGGTCTTTGACAAACTCCAAAGGTTTAGTCCAGACAATTCTATTATCTGAAATTCACTCTGAACTTTTCTTTATTAGTTGTTTTAGAGTTCTATTCTAGGAAGACAAACGTTATCTATTTTGGACTTCGGAAGATTGTATACACTCAAATTTTAAAAAAAGTCAGCTACTTATTAGTGAACAGTAAGTGATTTAGGATCTAATTGTCACCAAGGAGTTCAAAATATGGGCTCTATTTGATATTACCTAAAAACTAATTAAAAGAATCTTAATAGGACTCGAAGAAGAGTTAAGCTGAGTTAATGAAGAAAATTTCAGTTCAGCTACTCATTCCTGATTTATTCTCTAAAGAATTATAGTTTAAGAATGGTTGTTCTTATTTCATTTGACATGACAAGTGTTTGATAGGCTGGGAAGAACACAATTGTCCCCATGGTATCTTGACAAGTATAAAGCTTTATTTTGGTTAATTTGCATCCATACGCTTCTTGCTCTCATCCCTCTTTCTTCATTCTTCTTTCTACCATTTTATTATAAATATTATTTTTACAATCGATATCTCAAGTTATCAACAACTTTCAGTTTAGGCAAGACCCAATGGACAGACATTGATATGGTCAAGAGTCAAGTTATTGTTGGTGTGAGATGACGAAAATGGATATTATATCGTATAACTTGGGTATTGATATGAATGGTCTGACTAATGAGCTTCGTCCATGATCATAGTGTTAGATGTGCATTCTTGTGAATGACTCGACCCAAAAGAAGAAAATACACTATAATACTTCTATGATCAAACCTCTACGTACAAAACGCCACGTGTATAAACACTCTAATCAAAATTACTTCAAAAAATAATAATGCTTTGTACAACAACAACAAAACCGCAAATCTCAACTATTTGGAGTCGGTTACATGGGTCTTTTGTCATCATTAGAATATGAAAAAAATAATGATTTAAAAAACGCTAGGCGCCCGCTCACTCGAGCAAAGTAAGAAGCTCTGAAATATTAAAATATAAAACATATATAATACAATTGATAAATATGATTATATAAATCACATTAGTTAATAATCTACTATTAATAGTAGATTATTTATTGTTAACAGTAGTTAGAGGGGAAGAAAAGAGTTATCTACTATTAACATTAGTTATAAGGGGAGAAAAGAGTCACCAATAGTGGAAAGTGGGGAAGGAGAGGGCAACGGTGATGGAGAAACTTTCGGACAACAACGACGGCAGCAGAGGAAGTTGCGAACGATAGCAGCAATGGCGGAGGAAGGTTCGGACGACAACAACAACGACGAAGGAAGCTACGGACAACAGTAGCGGCGATGGCGAAAACTGCGAACAACGACGTCGTGGGCGGAGGAAGCTTCAGAGGTGTCCGTCGGTGGCCGAGGAAGCTATGGTCCTCTCCCTCAACAGAAGTAGCAATGGTGGAGGAAACTACGCATGAAAGTTAGGCCGTCGAACCCGTCTGTCGATGAGAGAGGAAGCATCGGTCCTGTGCGTCGGCAATGGTAAAGGAAGCGTCAATGGCGAAGGCAGCAACTGCGCTACGGTTTATGGCTCGGGGTCGCGTGGGGAGGGCAAGCGAGGTATAGTAATATAACGTAGCTTAGTTGGTTCGATCGAACCAGCTAGCTACTGTTCAACAGAACCAGACTTTTAAGTCTAGCTCGATTACTTCGTTTGAACCAATTACTCACCTGAGCTTAATTGGTTCAATCGAACCAACTAGCCAATAATCAACCGAACCAAACTTAAAAGTCTAGTTCGACTACTTTGTTTGAACTGGGTGCTTGCCCAAGGCGCCCGACACCTAGGTTTAGGCCAGCGCCCAGGCGACGCTTCAGTAAAGCACACCGCTTGCTCGAGGCGCTCGGGCCTCGCCTCGCCTCACCCATGAGCATAGGCAAGCACCCGAGCACCTATTTAAACCCCTGGTAAAAAGTCATATAAATGATTTTCTCTCATCTTATCCTCTATCGAAGTGACACATAATTGTTTACGAATAAAAATATTTTTTTTCCTATCTTTCCTAGTAACTCCATGCATCCATCTTAGCATTCTCATCTCAACAACACAAAATTTTTATATATATTATTTTTTAACTGCCCAATACTCAGAACTAATATTAGATAAAGCACTTTTATAAAAGAAACAATGCAATTAGATAAAGCACTTTTTTTGTCCAATAAACAATGCAATTATAAGGATTCCTTGAACTCATATCTAAAAGAAGAAAGTTAATTTTGTCATAGATAACTCACTAGCTTGTATTTACATAACAAAGCTCAGTTCATTTACAAATTGTAATATATCAAACAAACAGAAAATTGTTAAGCATCAATTAAAAATTTTCATATTCAAATATTAGCTACAAGGAACATAAATGATCATTAGCTTGTTTTTTTATGTTATGGAAATAGGTCTTCTACAAAACATCATAAAAGAGTTAAATCATTTTATGCATATTAATTTATGATGGCTACTGAAAAATATAAAGAATTCATGAAACACATGGAATAATTTACCTTGTTATACAAGATAACCCCTGATGAGAGACAAATGTAAATGAGTAGATAAAGGTAAGTCAGCAGAAGTTGTTTGTTGATCATTCTGCCTGCTGGCAATTTATACATATTTCTGTTCCAGATTATGATTGTCTTGACTAGATGTGGCTGGTAATCCAGATGGATGAAGCTACAAACATTAATTGCATCTTTGACTTTGTAAGAATATCATTTTCACAGAAAAGCAAGACCATATTATTCGCAATTCCTAATATACATAGCTATTTAGCTAAATTCTTGAAGGCAACCCGCTGTGCTTCAATAATCCAGAAAGTCAGACACCTGGAAAATGATCAGTGAAGACAAAGAAAGAAACATGTTAGACTGCTCTAAACTAAATAAAAGCATATGAACAATAAAAAGAAAGACAAGGCATCAAGTTAAGAAACAGGCATATGAGCCCATCCAACAGCATGACCTTAGAATTCTTTTATGAATTTAGAAAGGGGAGATGATACTTCACCAGTAACACTGGTTAAATATGACCCTTTCATATGTATTCTATCAGCATAAAGGAAGCAGGCATGAATTAGCAAGTCTCTTAACAAAAAGTATCGTCTACAGCATAAGTTCCATTAACAAATCAAGCTTGCACCAGTTCACGCTATACAACTGTTTCTTAAGTATAACAAAATTTTGAAAAGTTGAATAACTTACCTTTTACTAGGCCTTTTCTAGAGCTTGGACACATAGCTAATTAAACATTAAGGGAATAGATTGTCGAATCATATTTAATGTTCTTCTCACTTGATTTTCAGCTATGGATTTTCTTTATAGTTTATACAACGTGGCTCATACAAAATTTTTGACATCCAACTAAAGGTATCAGAAGTTGGCAATGAAAGTAAAGCTGCCATTTGATCAAGTTGGATTTGGCAACTTCGGTTCAGATTAAGATGTATAGGATTAATGTGAAATAAACATAATCAACTGGCAGGTCATAGAAATCTTCACCTAGAAATAAACCAGTGGTCAACACGTACCTTCTGGATCCGTCTTTCCTACGTTAGGCATGCTGCTTCAAGTTTTAAAATCGTTGACCGCTTTTGGGTTGTAATGAGTTAGATCTAACTAATTTTATATTAGAATTTAAATTAACTTTGCCATGAATTTGACTACATAAATGAATTATCAGATGCAAATATTGATGGCACATCTTGCTGTAGAATCTAAAAGGTTTAAACAAACATAAGTTTTCATACAGTAAAGATACACGTCCAATGCAGATACATGTACATTATACACAATCGATGGTCTAAATCTCGCTCTGGTAAAAGCTTAGGTAATCTACTAGACCAATATGCTACCAGTATATCAGCTGGTACAGTGACTTGTACCACCTGACCGAGACCGGACCATTTGTGTTACCAAACAGTATTTGGAACTGTAAAAACAGTTATAGAGGTTAGTCTATTTTCACCCGTGTCAAAAAACCTTGAATCCAACCAACACACTAGCAAATTTGGCAAGTTGTGACTCAGACCTGACACATAGTCCAACGTGTCATCTTAAATAGATTGTGCCAGGTTGACCCTATCCATTTGGATCAAGAATGTCAACCATAACAAATACGCATATTATGAAATTATAATGACCATTATAGGTAAAGGAATGGAACAATAATTGTCTTGTCAATTTACAAAACAAACTAATAACAACCATTTGGATCAAGAATGTCAACCATAACAACCTTGCAGGATGCAACAACTAAACCAAGAATTTATTTTTGGGGCACACCCTCACACCAATAGTCAAGTTGCCAAGAATTTATTTGTGGTGCACACCCTCATGCCAGTAGTCATCTAGGATAGGAAAAGATCACATGTTGTCACTGGTTACTAAATTGAAGAAAAAGAAACATGCAAATCAATGAACTCATCCCTCAACCAGAATATTTATGATACATGTTGATATCTGAATACCACTAAGACAGAAGAACAAACCTCAATCAAAATCATGACAATTTAGAAAGCTCCACTCGGAAAGAGAATGTAGCAGAGAAAACAAATGGGGAACACATAATTTTAGCTTCTAGTGCTTGTTACCCATATGTATGGAAGCAAAAGGGTGCTGTATTTTTTCAATAGCCAAATCCTCATGCCTTCACACTTTATGTCCACTGGTAAGGGATCTAATATATATGTATATAATATATATATACATATACATACACACATATATGTATATGTAGGTATGTATTGATATATGTACATGTACATGTACATATGTATGTATATGTACATGTACATATATACATATATATACATATATATACATATATATACATGTATATATATACATATATATACATGTATATATATACATATATACATATATATATATACATGTACAAATATATATGTACATATATTGTCAACAATACTTGTATAACACAATTATAGAAATTAGCCTATTCTGACCAGTCGGCCAAAAAGGCCTCAAATCAACCTGAACAGACTGTATCACTAGCAAGTCCAGAAATTGTGATCCAGAAGTAACACATGCACCCAGCTTGCCATCTTCGATGAATTGGATTGGTTGATCATATCAGTTCGGTTCAAGAATGCCAGCTCGATCAGGTAATCATGACTCGAGCCCATGAGTTAAAGATTTAAACTCCAAAAGCCCATAGTATGAAGTTAGAATAAGCATTCTGGAGACTTGAATCAACAATTTTCATGTCAAGATACAAAATGAATCAAAGAAACGGCATCTATTAACTTTTCAGAATCCAACCTCTAAAACAAGTATCCATTTGTTGGTCTCAGACGCTCATACCAGGAGTCATCTAGAAACCAATGCTGATCAGGCAGTCGTGAATTGAAGTGAAAAAGAAAACAAGAGATAGAAAGTGGTATGTGGATAAGAAGGATGTTTACAAGACTTATGGATTATCTGAAACCCCAGAACAAAACTTCATCAAGATCACGAAACCAGAAGAAAGAACGACGGCAAGAAATGTAAATGGGGAAACAACGCAATCTTTTGCTGTCAGTGTTCTTTATTGAATACGTCAGGAAGCAAAAAAAATGCAGCAATCCTTAGAAAAGATGACTTCTTGAATGCCCAATTTCTATCTATGCTTCGACATAATGCCGAAGACGAATCCAATTTCTATATCCGTTTCCACATAGTACTTACTGTATGACAGGGAAAATTGCATGTACAATCCGAAGCACATTTTTGCCTCACTCTTGAAGATATTAAGAAGGAATTTGTGGATCCCGAAACCCAGCATTCAGTTTGATATCAAAGAAACCCTACCCCTCTGGCCGTGACCGACTACGGTCAAGATCTTTAACCAAGAATGAGCCAAGAAGCGGACCTGACGCTCAGATCTCGCGCTAGGGCTACATGCACGCAACTCCTTTCAACGCAAACGGATCACGGAGGAGACAATAGCAGAGAAAAGAGCGAACCAAGAAAGAGGGTGAGCGGTGCACCTCAGATGGAGACAACGGGAGAGAGGACGGCAGATCTACCGCTACGTGGTCAGAGGAGTGAAAGGAGAATCGCCGCAACCCGCCGGCGCCTACGTAAATCGAGGAAGAGCGCCCTGGCCAGGAAGGATCGATGGAGGGAGGGGCCACAGAGAAAGCTGCCTTGTACTGGGGGAGGAGCGGAATGGTTTGATTGGCTTTCTTGGGTTGAGTTGAGTCGAATCGAATTATAAACAAAGCGGTCCGACTCCGTAGCGGTTCGGTTTAATCCTGAACCGCCCAAGACTTGGCAAAGCGCATTCGGATTCTTTTCTAATTATTGTTGTCTATGGGATATTGTTTGTATTTTTTTTTTTTTTGGGAGAACACTTCTTTTTTTTATTTTCTCTCGGTAGGTACACTATCTTCTTTTATATCTCATATAGTTTTTTTTTTTATGATATTGCTCGTCACCTTCCCTTCATCAATATTGGTTATACCATAATGTCACGACCTTAACTGGAATTGCCTAAGGCGTGAGGCATCCTTACGGCCAAGAAGTGAACTTAGCTTGCATTGCCTAAGTCGCGAAGCACCCTTGCGACAAAGATGCGAACTTAGCTTGCGTTGCCTAAGTCACGCTTCGCCCTTGCGATATTGCTTCGCAAAGATCAACCCACTTGCAATCTCTCGCAAAGCCCCAAAGGACCTGTAAAAGAGAAAGTTGATTAGTTCTAAAGAACAAGCGACAGACATGTCCGACGTCTCACGAAAAGGGGAAGCTTTACAAGCAATTCCTCGAGCACCTTGCGTGCACAAGAGAAAAGAGGGAGAGGAGGAAAACAAGAACTTTAGAGGATTAAGCGAATAGCTGTAAGTCCACAAACAACTGCTCACCGGGTGCCGAGCGTCATCTCTATTTCTATTCACACCATGAGATCCAATCGTCTCTTTATAACCTTACTTTCTACTCCCGTTGCGAGGTGATGAGCAAGGAATGACGCATAAAGACAAAGATGACAAATAGAAAGACAATGAGACACCAATGGAACGAAAAGCAACTAGCAAAAAATAAAAGGGAAGAATATTTATGGGATTATAAAAAATAAAAAATCCTATATCAGAAAAACAGAAATATGAGCATCTTCTAGAAAAAAAATTTAGAAAAATCACCCTAACAGCTTTAGAATTTATTAAATAATTATGAAAAAATTTATTGGTTAAAAATTGTGAATATGAGACATTAGATGGAAAACTCACCTTCAGCATCAATTCAAACCAAAACCTTATCAAAATGCTGGCCGATATGACACTAACTAAAGAACTACAAGTAACTCCAACTAATTCGAGTCCTCCTAGCTTCTTACAAGTTTTTTTTTTGAACAAAAAAGATGCTTGCTCCGATGCTGTTTGATCCACACACGTTGCATTCTAGAGAATAGTTACAACGAACAGTTCGAAATCAAACAAGAACAGAGAGCTTCTCAGTCCTACCATCCTATATTTTCCTTGGAAACCTACCAGGCTTCAAGCATTGGTAGTGGAAGTGCTGTGGGGAAGCTGTTGATCTCAAGTCGAACTTATCCTTCAACTACAACTCCTTGTCGAGCAGCAGACCAAAGTTCATGTTTGCCACAACCTGATCAGTCTATTTTGACAGATTAATATATCTTCTGGGCAAATTAAAAACAGGCATAAAAGCAAATCATGCCATTCAACATGAAGAATGCATATGATACAATGAACATGTACTCAAAAGTAAATGACTATAGAGACCACTTTAGTTATCTCTAACTTTGTCAAGAACCTGCAGTCAAATTACACCCTCCATGACCAGTAATAGTCTTCACGGCACAGCTGGACGTAGCAAAGCACAATTGTTATTTCTGCACACGTCACAACAAGGATGATGAAGGGATGCCAAGATGTAATAAAACTGGATCAGCCACATCGAGGTCAGGAGGAACAAGAGTGCAATAAGAACAGCATCAAAAGGTAGTATCCCACCGTAAATTAGCATAGAAAACAACGGCTACATATACCAAGCTTGCTGAGGTATCTGCCTGGGGATCTTGTTTGTCTTCACTGGATCTTCAAGAGTTGGCGTTTTGTTGCCTATATAGCTCCCAGCAAACATCAGAGGAACAGATATGACAAATCATAGTAACACCAAGGCAAACATAGTCCCAAAGGGAACTACATCAGATGATTTCTCCCACCAAACAAGAGCATTCAGCACAAAGAAAATGGCAAAGACAATGCCAGGAAACATAAAAGCAGTGCCCGTGAATATTTACAGAGGAAAGCTGAAGAAAATCCAGCAAATAGGCCCATAAAAACCCACAGGAGAACCATAGCAGTCATCAGACCTCCATGGTTGGAGGGAGAGAGAACCTCGTAGTGCAAAAATCATAGTGATCAAAGTCATCACAAAGAATTGAACTCTGGTTCCTCAATAAACACAAAGAAGCCCAAAGTTGATTGGCGATCTAAAGACATGACCATGTAGTTGTTGGCAGCTACCTCTTGGGGTGTATTGCTACCAGGCATTATTTGAGTGTCTGCATTGCATGTAGAAACTTTAGGGTTCTTATCGTCCCAGTCGCTATAGTCATGCTTCACACTGTTCACAAGACCAAACATGAGGTAAAAAAAAAATCATGAATCAACTTATTCCGAGGGGCAGATGAAAAGAAAATTTATGTAGGTTATCATCCAATATATAACATTAAATTAACATATAAGAAACATAATCACTTGTACGATCTAATTTGAATGAATCTTATTCAATACAAAAGCAATGTGAATGTATCATTTATGGCCCAGGCTAACGATTCACAAAAAATCAGTTAACAGTTCAAAAAACTGCCAAATTTTGGAAACACTGTTCGAAAGTGCTTCAGTTTAATTAGAACAGATATAGATCATGATAGAAATGAGATGACTCAGGTAAAACAGAAAAAACATCCATATATATAAGTCAGAACATATAGACAGTAGAAAGATTAATATGGGTGTAGATAGGAAAGCCAATTCTGAAACAGCAACTAGCCAAGGTAGATAAATTATATTATTCTCTCGTTACTACAGACAACAATTGTAGCTCTTTTGTTATTGAAAAAGGCTTCTCAATCTCTTACATCTAAGGCCATACAGAAAAATTGTAGCAGGAATGCCTATCAAACGATTAACATAGAACTGTCATTGGTCTTTGCTATTCTAGGAAAAGGATATCAATCTTGGACTTCTTACTTCCATTCCAGTCAAATACAGTATATTTATTCACTATAGAATGGCTTAAAGCTGCAGCTCATACAAACTACTGATATTTAATAAACAAAATATTGCTCATATTGTAGCAAAGTTTATAAAGCCAAGCAGCCGACTAGAAGACACTCATAATCAATCAGAGAAGAATAGTTACTGCTGAAACTAAACAGGACAGCAATATAAATTCCACTGCTTGGAAGCTTAGAGATCAATCTTTCTGCGATCTTATTTAATATGCATTTGCAAAAAGATCACTTATTCTATATCTTTGTTTTCTTATATCTCCAAATTTATCACATAATATTTCAGCAAGATTTGTGCTGTAGTTGTCGCTCATTTAAACTTAACAGAAAAAAAGTTTCACCATGCTGTATCTCTGCAGTACAATGATAGAAAGATAATGTTTCAAAACTTGTGACTGCTATAGCCAGCATGATGCTAGACATTGCCAAAAGAACTTATTGGACTGTGAAGCTGAACGAACATCAGTACCCAATTGGAACTTGGAATCACCTCAAAGCCAACAAATTGAGCATCGTCGGATTCTGCGTTTTATGGTACATAACTTTGAAACTGAGGTGGTTACTAATGTAATAGTTACCATCTTTGCTCTGTTCATGGCAGCTGTATATTAACTATGTAGCAAACAAGCCAAAAATGTTTGTAGATTAATGTAATAACTTTATACCCAACACGGAAACTATATTCATAGCTTGGAGCTTAGCTTCCACCTCTTCTTTGCCTTGGAACTGCAACATGAAGATTGTCCAGAATCCCATAAAGTGAATAAGAAGCACCAGGATAGTATCTCGTCACAGAAGAAAATTATGAATCTTATAAACCATGGAAAAGAAGCTTGGAGATTGAAACAAGCCTGGTGATAACCAGACCCCATCAGCTAGATATAAAATGGCTATGTAAACTTAAGTAATGAACTTTATCCCAAGTGAACACATTTTAGAAACTTACATGTTCAGGCAACACTCATCATCACTTATCACCATATAGCTCTTAGCAGCTTCAGAGCTAAGTTTTGTTCGAGAAGTTACTTTGCAACTTTCATCCATTCTCATTTTCAACTGACGATTGAATCATGCACATCAAATAAAGGAGGTTGACTATGCAAAATTTAATATCTTTCCCTCTGGTATTTTGGTGTTATCAAGAATGAAATTATAAAAAACACATGATATTCCAACAATGGTAATTTACAAAAGATTAGTTGTTTATCAAACAGAAAAGGAAAGCAAGTATTTACTGTGTAAACAGAATTTTCAATGTGAACACCATGAAGCCCCAAGTTCTCGGCACTCTCATTATCTTGGGAGGCATACAGTAATTCAAAAAATAGTAATTATATGGAAATTGTGTCTTCGTCAATGAAAGTTTGTTCACTTTGACCTGAAGCTAGTCATCATGTAAGAAACAAGAATCAGCAACAGTAACATTTAATCAATTCAGGAGCCAGTGAAAGTTTTCTTGCAGATCATGAAAATAAAAAGCATTACATGTTCTAGAAACAGCCATGGTTTAAAGTACAAACTTAACATAAAGACAATGAGGAAAGAGATAAAACTTGTTTGGAAGTTAACACAAGAAAGTAGCAAGTTTTCATCACATTATACATTTTCTAACACCTCTAAAAATAAAAGGCAATGCCTAATCACCTATTAGATTAAATCATATTGCATCTAACATCAAGCTGGATGCTCAAGATAGAAACCAATTTATGACAAAACTGCATGATATTGCTGCTAAACAAAATATATTCCAGATCTGTTAGGATTCTATCAATGAACCCAAAAAAACTCATTGCAAATGCTCATTCCAATATTAATTGTGTATGGCCAATACTTTTTCCTTACTGATTCTTATTAAGCAATATAAGTCAATAGCCCACTAATCTAAAATAGAGAATTCTTTGGCCGCTAGATCATCTTGAATTGAACGTGACCTGA